AGGATCTTCAAGAATAGATGGTGGGCTGCGACTGTGCAGTCTCCAGAGATTCTTGTTGCTGCATCACATGCTTCGAGATCAGGACAGCTGGGTTTGCAGGCCGATCGCGTCGTACTAACTGGCCTTTCCCAGACTGCAGACTTGATAAGAAAGTTCATCGTCGAGTCTCCTCATCTCCGACGTCCTGATGGATCCGCCCCATTTGAGGGATTCATGCCATGCCAATGCGACGGCGGCAACGCACTTCCAGACTTGCGCGAATCAAAGACCATTGAGATTCTAGGTGAATTCGAACTCATCTATAGTAAGACACTCTATGGGGGGATTGGAGGTGAAAGGCCTCCCCATCGCCGTCCTGATAGCAGGTCATTCCGACTCTACGAAGTTGCCGGCATGTCTCATCGCGAGACTCGATACCTCTCGATGTCAGATAAGAAACGTTTGTCAGCTGTTGATCTGGAAGGTGCCCAGTGGACAACTTTCGCCAATTCTTTCGTTTACCATGCTCTCTTCGATGCTATGAACAAATGGATCACAACCGGTGTTGCTCCCCCGCGAGGCACCACAATCGATATCGACAAATTCGGGGAGGTCGAGCGAGACGAGTACGGAAATGCGCTTGCTGGAGTCAGGACTGTTCATACAGACGTTCCTACTGCCAAAATAATCGATGTCACCCCTCAGCCACACCCGCATTGGCACACTGGTAAGTTGCTCATATCCGCGAGAATTTCTTTCAGCTGTTTAACCTGGTTATTATTTAAAGGCACCGAGGTCCCTTTCAAAGATATCAAACTGTGGGCTGTCTACAAAACTGTAGAGAACTATCGACGTCAGGCCGGAGAAGCCGTTGAGCGACAGATCGACGCCGGATTTTTGTTGTCGGAAGACGCCGAAGTCCTGCGTCGCGATACCATTGAGCAAGTCGTCTTTTAAATATTTCAGACTACGGTATTGTTTTCTCGTCATAAGTTTGGGGTGTTACCTGGATCTTGGGGGCCTGAAGCTTTTTTTTAACAACAGACAATTGCGATGACCTGCAAGCCCTCATATACCTCGGGATGCCCTTGGCTATGTTGTATTGAAATTGAGATCAACTTTAACCTTCTGCACTTTCAATGTCTTTAGTGAGGGCCGCTTGGCTATCTACTTTCATTTCAATGTAATTGACTCTGCGATTTTTCGCCACGCTAATTGATAGTAAATCATGTACTGAAAATAGCAGTATCCTGCCAAGACTAATTATTCTCAGTTTGAAGAGGGTACCGTGGGGGCTAACTGATCTACTATGCAACTATAGAACTAGAAAAAGATAACGTATATATATTGCTTTTGATTGAAAAATGGAGATGCTCCGTATCGACAGGCCAATCAAAGATGTTAAATGACATGAGAATCGATCATGCACTGGACAGCATCAATAATGCTAGTCTTTAAATCCACATAGTTCCATTTGCCAGTCTTAGTACCCTTAGCCAGGATATCTAGACTGACACGCGTATCCCACCCAGTTGGGTGAATACCCGGGGGAAGAATCTGAGAAGGATTACCTTCCGGAACACGGTCCTTGAGCTGAGGGAAGTTTTCCCTAATAGTGTTCACCACCAACTGGGGTGTGATCAGGTCTGAGATCAGGAGAATTCGCTGGTTCGCGGCTGCTGGGTTGGTCAAAGCCTCTACGTGGCTCCGGGCAACATCGCGGACATCAACCTAGACATCAATTAGCTTGGAAAGGTCACCGAGGGGTGTATCGCATACAAAATGATAGAATGGGAATTGAACTCCGTCGATTGTTTTGTGAGTTCCATCGATGAAGTTGGCGATTGCGAAGCGATTAGTCTCGTTGATCGAACCTGGTCCGTCTATGGGATGAAGCATGGGACCAGTGATGATATCCGGGTTGATGACAACCAAATCAAAGGATGGCTTGTTCTTCTCGAAGAATTCCCATGCTGCGGCTTCGGCTCTGGTCTTTGATACATTGTATCCGAGAACGGCGTCATGTCGCTCAATTGCCTGCTCGGCCGTCACCTATTGCTTTTTTAGAGATGTTTACATAAGATATAAAATATCCATGCCTTACCGGGTTCCAGTCTTTCTCGGTGTATGGCTTTCCCTCTTTCGTCATGTCTTCGAAAGAGTTCATCACGGAAACCGCGCTACTTAACAAGACGAATCGTTTGAGAGAGGAGCCATATTTCAGTGTTGCTTTCAAGATTTCCGTAGTTCTAGTGGATTCAGTATGGAGTTTTGAAACTTCCCCGGACTCCAAGCTTACCCTTTTTCAGCCGGCTCGATCATCTCCTTTTGAATATCGGACACCTGGAAGTTTACTGGAGACGCAGCATGAATCACATAGTCAATGGATGTTGTTTTGAAGATTTCATCAAACGGTCCCTCGGTGGTGAAGTCTGATACGATCGCGAAGTCGATTTTGCCTTTCCACGATGGATGGGTTTTGATTATGGCCTCGCCCTTGGAAAGGGACCGCACTGTCGCAGTTACAGCATAGCCTTGCTAATTTCATATTAGCAGAGATTCGTTCCCTATAAAGTCCGTGAACTTACGTCGATCAAGATAGACAAGATATGGGAGGCAACGAAGCCATTAGCTCCCGTGAGCAGGACGCGCTTTCCAGACGACATTTTGAATGAAAATATATTCTTTTCAAAGTAAAGGGTTCCAGGCGTCTTTAAATCCACTTTATGAAGAGCTATATAGGGCTCAGGCCCCACTTCCCTAGACTTCCCGATTTTGACGTCAGACTCAAATTTCATTCTGTGAGGTCACCAATATTTCAACGGGGTTTTTTTTCATTGTAGATTTATAATTGTAAATTTATATGAAACAGTCCAGTATGCAGGTCAAGGCTATACTTTTCCCTATGAGCTGTCTTGTCTTGGTTTTGCCTTCTCCGGGCCAACCGGCAAAAAGAAACTCGGAGATTTCTCGGGAACTGGATCTGGGGTGACAAGTCAGAAGCCCTGAGAAAAGCAGTATTCTTTAGTCGAATTGTGGACTAACTCTTGAACCCCTTGGTATCTAGAATTCCGCCATTGGGAAACCTGGGGTTAGGAATGCGACACCCAAACCGAGCAGCCATACACGGTCACAAGTTCTGGAAGGACTCTGTATCGCCGTTTATCGCATTGAAGATCTGTTTTCCTGCGGCACGAGGGCTGCCCAAATGCAGAACTTGAGGAGATTTGCTGATGTCCATTCTCTCCAAAGGCTTAGCTGTAGGGCGTAGGGTGCAAGCCCCACATTCGGTATTTAAGGTCAAATGGCCAGAGGGTTTCTTTTGGTAGAGTCGGCGGAACAGTGGGAAGCGATCTAGTTGGAGGCAATAGAGGTTTGCCAGCCTAGGTTTCTGACTTTTCTTTTTCTCTTTCCTCTCTCCTAGCTCAAGGTCATTGAAATTGTATAGGTGTGCGAGATAGTATACGGAGGAACGGTGTCGGTGGTGTTCCTATATCGTTATACAGACTCAAATGAATGTTGCTTACGCAGTGTGGCTATTCACCTGGGCAAAATCACACAACATACACTCTAACAGATCCATTTATAGCACTGCATAATAAGGCAGGCAGCACTTACGAAGGAATATCGATGATCCAGTCATGCACAATCAATCACAGTTGCAGCGCCTGGTGTAGGCTAACAAAGTTTGTCTTTATTAGGAAACCTAGTCGCCGGCCTTGTGTTTCCATATCAAATTTAGTACACCCACAGGCTGGTCGCCAACCAAATATCACCATTTAGCGCTGCGGCATGCCCTATATCCATCCAGATTGCGCCCATGCCCCGTTGATACGACATAGCCTAGTCACACAGAGGCAGGGTGTTGAGCATATCGGGGTATAAAAGTCCCTCAATTTACCCATCGAAGCTGTATCCTTTTTCCCAGTAACTTGCCACATTATATTATCACCTTATTATACTCTCAGGCTTAGTGTGATACCTACCTCTGCCGCCTATTTCTATACATCTTTCTCATCATGGGTCTTGTCAGGCTCTTGCTCAAAGCGATCCTCATCCCAATTGTCGTCCTCGTTGTCATTGCTGTTGTCATTGTCCTTCTTATCAAAATGCGTAGGGATCGCAAAAAGAAAGAAAAGGAACTGGGGAAATCTTTCCAGCCACCCCCTATACAGCAATGGGTGCCGTACACCCCGGTCCCGCAACCAGCACCGGCATATGTCAAAACGCCGGGGGAGATGGAGCAAGGAATTGGACACAGACAGCCTTAGTGGGAATTTTCTATTGGGTAACGATATCTTCCAGTAAGGAATCTAGTGATTATCTTTGCTAATGGTGCGCTGCAGACTGTTTTGCTCGGAGAATGGAGAGGCCTATTTTTCGACTTTGCAGAGGGTTTTGTGTGAATTATTCTCATTAAAGATTTGTTAATGCAAATCGAGGATTGCCACAATGAATTCGTTGCATCTGTATCAGTGACTTTATTTCATCTTGAAACTTGTACTACCAAGAGGGATCAGGGGTGTCATTACTGTTCAGCTACCCAGAACTCGGGGTTTTTCTAGATCGGAGTTTAGGCGTTGATACGCATAAATTTGCTCATATTCAATTCATTCACGCAAACATTTTCTGAACTTGACCCATAGGACTGCATATAACCTGCTGTAGACCAAATGGCTCGAGGCTTTGCATTTCGTGGGATCTGCACGTGGGCTTGCAATCTACATTCAGGGGGAATTCTGCTGCCTGATCAAGTCCTCTTGGCCGGCTAACCGGTAATAAACTATCCTATGAATAGTGATTTTATTGCTTGTATCTGATACTCAAGTTGGGGTCTATTGCTGAAAGATATCAGCTCTTCGAGGGTTTGGACTAAGGTTGGTCACAGCGCCAAGTCTCAGCCCTACGAGGCGACTCCGTGGTGATTCTTGCTTTTTGCTCTAGGTGTAGTATTGCTTTTAATAAGTTGCTCGAATGTAATTTATCTAACTGAGAATAATTAATCATAACCCTGCAGCATCTTAAACGAATGGTGCATCGACTGCGTCTGGGTGCACGTAGAATGCAATGGCGATTATCAGATATCTAAGAGAAATCATTAGTACTGAACGCAACTAGAAAACTCATGTGGCCACTCACGTTCCAACTAATAAAGACCCTTCGTAGTAGTTGGATCGACCTCCGCGAATCAAGCAGTCCATGACTATTACCGATAGGAAGAAAACCACAGTTTCGAAGGGACTGTAACGCAAGGACATGGGCTGTCCAATAATCCAGCCACACATGACCAGGAACGGGCTCACAAACAATGCGATTTGCAACGTGCTTCCAACAACCACACCAATCGCGAGGTCCATATTCCCTTTGATCGAAGAATTGATGACAGTGTTGAACTCTCCCGCGTTACCGACAATGGGAACCACAATCAGGCCAATAAAAGCCCGGCTCACATGCCACTTGTCTACAAAGCCATCGACACTGTCCACCAGACGATCAGAGCAGACGGTGACCCCGAGGGTTGCAAGGATCAAAATGATGCTTGCCGACCAGGGGCCCAGAACTCGCTCTTCTTCCTCTTCTTCTTCTTGTTTATCGTCGACAAACAGCTCGGAATGACTCTTCAGTTGGAAGTATAGGTAGACCAAGTAGAATGTGAGCAGAACCACGGAGGCGGCACGGGAGAGACTCAGGACGCTGGCTTCCACTTCCTGGGACTTGGATGGTATGGTTGAATAGAGGACGGATGGGATGATTAATGTTGCAGAGGATACCACCATTAAGGATGACAGTATCCCACTAACATCCACGTTGAATTTCACGACATCTTTTGCAAACCCGCCGCAGAACAATGAAACACCGAGGATCTAAATTTTGTGTAAGTAGACAAGATCACCTGGGCAGTGAGCATGACACCAAGAACCAAACCTACCAGAAGATTTCCCGACAGGATACTGCCCACCATACTGGACTGCACGATGCTGATTTCTCCCTGCCGAACCGCAGTGATCCCCACCTACGCAGTGGCCAACGTCAGTTTTCCACATTAACAGAGCACCAAACGTTCAGCTTACAATCATTTCAACGGCATTTCCAAACGTTGCATTAATCAGCCCTCCGACGGTCTGCCCGACGCTTTTTGCCAGTTCCTCTGTGGCGAACGACAGCAACGCCGCGAGAGGAAGAATCGCCAGGAAGTTGAACACGAAAGAAATCGAGTCATCCCATCCTAGACTCCCCGCAAGTATGCCCAAAAACACAAACGGCAGTAGTAAATTGCTGTAGCTGCATCCCAAGGTAATCTTGAGCACACGTACAACAGAGTTGCCTAGGAACAGAGCACGCTTTGATTTGGGGTTTGTGTCACGCAACTCTGCAGAGTCCTCTCCATTGCCGTCGCATCCAGCCTCGTCTCTGAGTAATGAGTCTTGCTCGTGGGCTGTCGTGTTTGCTTCGAGGGACCCGGCCATCATTTCAGGGTCGATCTTGGTTGACTTTCGCAGTCGGGGGTGTGTGTTGTTCATGTTGTCAAAAGTGAAGAAAGAGACCAAAAAACTTCGGGGTTGACCTCCGGAGGGTCAAGGGGATGATGTATTACTGCCTTTGAGCCCTTGGCATCTACGTACGCATTGGTGTAACTGGCGAATTGCGTATTCTACTTAGAAGAGCCCTGCAGATAAAATACATGTATGTTTCAATTAATTACATTTTAATTACATCTGTAACAGTATTTGTATGGAAATATTTCTGTCAATTACCGAGCCTCATTTATTGGCCTGCACATGGGTGGACTTTCTAGAAACGGGGTTCTCTCAGCTTCACCTTTTCCCTCAATAAAACATGTCTCCCGATCGAGTTTTACCTACTTTATATTGCAAGTCCATCATGGCGCAGGTCCAACACCACCTGGGCCTCTTGTCACTTTTGATACCTCTCATCGGTATCATAGCAGGAGCCCTGGAGTGGAACAGTGCTGTCATCTTCGCTCTCAACACTGTCGCTCTGATTCCGCTTGGATCATGGGTTAATCGATCAGTCAATGCGCTGACCGTAGGTGGTAGCCGAGCTGTCAATGAAGTGCTGAAATCGACACTGGGAAACTCGGTGGAATTGATGGTGATATCCAGCCCTGGGACCCAATCTTTAGTTCAAACATAGGCTGACGATCATTTATCCAGGTCGGAATCAATGCGATCGCACAGGAGCGACCACACGTTTGCCAGTCCGTGATACTTGGAAGTGTCCTAAGCAATTTACTACTGGTAAATCCGAGTATCAAATCCAAGCTACGGATCTCTTCCTAATACAAAATATACCTCCAGGTCCTCGGCAGCACCATTTTCGTCTCAGGCTATGACCAAAAGCGACTCCGATTTGATCGTACCCTCACAACAGTCCTCTCATCTCTCATGATGGTCGTCTTCATCCTACTCGCCCTTCCAACCGTAATGGACGTCTTCCCATCCACCAAAGCCACGCCAGAAGACCAAATCCTCTTGACGCAACGTGTAACATCTCTTATTCTCGTCATTCTGCTCCTCACATTCCTCATCTTCCGCCTCGGCACCCATGCAGCCATGTTCGCCAGCACCCCATTCAGCCAGCGAGACCAAGCCAATCAGTCTCGCCAGAGCCAGATTGTCGAGGCCCGGATCCCACAGCCGTATATTGAGAGGGGTCCAGCAGCTATAATTCTAGCAGCTGCCTCCGCGTCTGCGCTTGCCTGCACTTATTACATAGTCAGCAGTCTGACCGGAGTTGCTTCGATCACGGGTATGAACCAGTCTTTCCTTGCCGTGACGCTTGTTCCTCTGCTCGGGAACTCGGTTAAGTACCGCTCCATTGTGGTGGGGTCCCGGTCTTACAATCAAATTGAGCTGGGGATCAGGGCGGTTATTAACAATGTGTTGCGAATTACGATGCTCATTGCTCCACTTCTGGTTCTCGTTGGTTGGGCTTTTAATCAGCCGCTTATTCTTAGGTTTGATGGGTTTGAGGCTACGACGCTTTTGCTCAGTGTTGTGGTTATGACTTATCTCATTTCTGATGGGCGGAGTAATTACTTCGAGGGGTTGATGTTGATTGGAACGTGAGTCACTCGCACTGCTTTGTTGGCCTTGTTTTTCGTCGGTACTAAGATTGCTTTTTTTGATAGATACATTATCATTACGTTCTCGTTCTTTGTCAGGCCTGAAGTGCCATTGAATGTGATCTTCCTAGGTGCTTAAATTCGTCCGGTTCAGATATGTCACATCATTGGTTACTTGAAGTATCTCCTAAGCATTGAGGTGACAAAATCCTTCAGCTATTTAGCGCGCATATAACGCCGCAACCAGACTAGAGTACCTATAATTATAGATCAGTAAATGTATCGTTAGAAATCGGAAAGGAATGCAGGAGAACCTACAGAGCAAGCAGCATCGCGCCATGAATGTAAGCATACTGTCCATCACGAAGTAGATGATTGACCACCAGAATAGCCAAAAACATGGCAACAGTCTGGAACGAGTCAAAGAAAAGCGTCATCGGTTCAGCAATGCACCAGCCGATAATTACCAAGAATGGTATGACAAATAGACCAATCTGCAAAAGACTATCGATGATAACCCGGATTGCAGAGTCTGTGTCTCCTGTGCGAGATGCAGTAATGACAGTAATCGCCTCGGTGCTATTGCTAGCAATTGGAATAAAAATAATCGCGATGAACACTTCGGAGACTCCGAGGGTTTGCGCCATGTCGCTGGTGCTTTCAAGCAGAAGCTCTGTGCAAAAGACTGTTGCGGCCACGGCGGTTATCAACCTGATAATTGATGAAGCTAGGCTGGCTCGGTTGGGTGTGGATGATGAGTCTCCGCTGTTTTCATCATCACTAGTTTCGCTCTCGTTTGAAAGAAATAGGTGTTTGTGAGTCCCAAGATAGAAGTAGAGGTAACCTCCGTAGAGCACAAGGAGTACCAATGACGTTCCTCGTGAGAAGGAGAGCACTCTGTCATCAATCTCAGATACCGGGAAAGTCGAGTAAAGAGCCGTTGGGAGAAGCATCGTCACGGCTGTGATCATCATCAAAGAGGACAAGGTCTTTGCAAGGGCGCTGTTGAACTCTAGAACTTCCTTGTTGTACGAAGCTGTGACAAGGCAACAGCCGAAGACCTAGATTTGGCTGTCAGTCAGTCAAATGATATGGCCACCACTGGGACTTCCATAATATGAGGACTTACGAGCAGAATATCTGAGAGAATACTGCCAACCATGACAGACTGCGCAAACGGGATCTCATCATGAACCAGAGCCAGAATTCCCGCCTGCAGTGAGTGAGCATTGGGTCATTTCGACATTTGGGGGAAAATTGCGACTCACCGTAAGCTCTACGGTATTTCCGAATGTGGCACTGAGTAAGGCACCTTGCAGTTCTCCGAGATGCTCAGCGAGTTCATCGGATGAGATAGATATCGCCTCGGATAAAAAGATAATGGCAACGATATTCACCACGAGAACTATGGTCGGATTCCAATGAAATATCTTTGCAGCCCCGGCCAGAGGTAGCAGTATCATCACCGGCAATCCATGACTGATATTCAGTTCCTTCAATCCTGTTTGCGATGGCATCTCGAAGAATCTTTGGATGCGAGTCCAAGGGTTTACATCATCTTGGATTTGTTGACGCTGATGGCGATTGGGCTGTCCACGGGACTCTGGGTTGTCTGGGCGGGAGAGCATGATAAATCTGGAGAAATGGCTCTCATAGAGTGAAGCTTAAGTGGGATGCGACCCGAGACCGGGGAAAGTGTCTGGGGCAAGATCCAGGGTGTTTCAACCGTTTCAACCGTTACCACGGTACAGATACGGGTACTAGTAACTTTCAGCCTTAATTAAAGTTACAGCCCTATTACTAGCGCCAAACAGAACTGCCTCATCTCCACCGGGGAATGCGTTTGACACCATAGGGCTGAACCGGCATTTAACCGTTTGATACTTGCAATTTAATGTATAAATACGGTATACAGCTTTCAGGCAACAGCATTTTTTTATATTGGGGTCTCAGCCCTATATGATCTGAGCTATAAATATTATGTGGAATGAGGGATCGCCATATTACTTGGTTATTACTCGGGGAACACCGTCTCCGACCCCTCTCTAGGTATTGTCATTAATCGTTGTAGAGCATTCGTGTTCCCCCCCCCCCCCACACCCACCTTGGCAATGCGTTCACAGCTCACAATCTTCCTCTGACCGGTCGCACAGTCCTATCTTCATCATTCAACCAAACCCCATTCAATACGGGCAAGTTATTAAGAACTCATCATATTACAAACAACCTCCCCCCCAGGGTCGAATTATCCCTGCTACCCCGCCTGTGATCTATGGACAAACACCCTCTCTCCCTCGAGTCTCTCCAGAGGGAGGTCAGTGAACTCACAGCGATATACCATGGCCGAGGCTGGACGACCGAAGCAACAGACCTGGAGTCGACACTGGCGACAGCGCGGAATCGGATAGTCAGGACAGGCGCGGATTCTGACCCAACGACAATAACGCTCGAAGAATTAACCACTTGTGTGAAGGCATGGCTGCAGGCCAAATCATGGATTGCTGCCGTAGACCTAGGCCGTCTGGTGCTGGACTCCTGCGAGAACCTGAAGGGAGAGCGAGACTTAATGACCATGACAGCGATGCATAATCTCTCTTCAGCGTATTGGGGCCGAATGCAGCTAGATCAAGCTGCTACTCTTGCCGTCCGGGTGATCAAGTTGAGACGGATTGTTCTCGGCGAGGAGCATCCCCAGACATTGACTTCGATGGCGAATCTAGCCTCCACGTATCGGGTTCAAGGGCTTTGGGCTGATGCTCAGGAACTTGATGCGAGGATCTTCGAGATGAAGAAGAAGACTATCGGTCCCAGGCATCCATCCACATTGGGCTCAATGTCTAGTCTGGCTATATCGTATTCCAATCTCGGTCTGTACAAAGAGGCCGAGACAATTGCGCGCCAACTGGTCGATCTTGGGGAAACGGAATTATCTCCAACCGATCCCTCCTTGTTGAGCTGGAAACTTACTTTGGCATCGACCTATCGAGACCAGGGAAGGCTTGACTCCGCTGAAACCCTAGAACGGGAGGTTGTCGCTGTTAGTCGGGACAAATTTGGCACAAAGAACTCCTTCACTTTGAACTGCATGGCCAACCTTGCATCCACACACCGCCAGCAAGGCCGATGGTCGGATGCCGAGCGCCTCGAAAAAGAAGTCGTGGCTATCAGTGAGACCGTGCTTGGCGAAACACACCCCCAAACGCTGATGTCCATCAGCAACCTTGCCTCAACATATCGCAATCAGGGTCGACTCGAAGAAGCCAAAAGTCTCGGGAAGAAAGCAACAGCTGTGTTGAAAGAGGTTCTTGGGGAGCGGCATCCACACACACTGGTTGCGATGGCAGATCTTGCAGTGACATATCAGATGATGAGGCAATCACCAGATGCCGAGATCCTGGCAGCCCAGTCTCTGCGTTTGATGGAAGAGACGATCGGCAAAGACCACCCGTACACTCTCAGCGCGATGGCCAATCTGGGCTTTATTTACCAGTCGCAAAGCAAGTGGGAGGTCGCCGGTGGAATGGCCGAAACGGTACATTCTAGCAGGGAAAGGGTATTCGGAAAGGACCACCCAGATACCGTGGCGGCGCTGGAGGATTTGAGGAGAGTAGCGTGGGTCGAGGCAGCAGATCAGAATGCACAGCGTACGTTGAATTAGACTCGCTTTTAGGCTTGGAATGTGGAGGGGCCTTGCCGAATGTTCTCAGCGCCGTTAATCAATATCTAACCAATGTTAGCCATTTTTTAAACAATATTTCTGGGTTCAGTGACCAATTGTGGAGTTTTGTTGGCTCCGATGCACCTCCTTTGAACCAAGTGAGTCGAGGGGATTCAGCCAGCCTCGGGCATTGACATGGTCTCTTGTCTTGCACAGCCTCCTTGCCAAGACGTGAGACTGTCAAGATTCTTGTGTGATCTTTGGGGCTTTCTTTGAAGGAGTTCAATAGACAGCACAGCCCTGTGAGAAACTTAGTTGCCTAGTCTAGAGTGGGGGTTGGTTAGTTGCATAGCTAATGAAGGTGGGACTTTGTCGAACATCGGCATGACTAGTCAGAATGACTAAATAGGAAGGCCCCATCTTGATCACCAAATGGATGATCTCTGATTTATTCGGGCCCCTACTATATATAGAATAGCATCAAAAGTAGGTAGAGTGTCTCCTAGATGTTGCTGTATGAGCCCAAATAGATATCTCTTGCAAAAACATGCTGTGAATATCGGGTGTAGCCAATAGTACAGCGTTGGTATGAGCTTTTCCCATCGGACTAGTAATATACTGATATCCTGTCTCATATCATCAAAGGTTATACTTTGAAAAGTCGTGTACATAGCTTATGCTTTTTCCCACCTCTTTCTACCATCTATAAAATTGGGGAAAGAATCCCCAAAAGACAACTAAAAAAGACTTCCAAAAGCAGATCACTCAGCCACATAGGCGGCCAGCTATTCTTGTTGATTGTAAATAATAGACCTCAGTAACTAAATGTACGTTTTCGCATCCAAATCTCCAAAGATACGCCAGGTTGTATTTTACATTTCCCCCCTTTTTTTACGCGTATTTGTATTTCGCCAGAACACATCTGTGTGCACCTGGGCAATTCCTTCTCGTTTGATCCGTTTAATTCTCCTCCGATGACATTCCCCATGAGATGACGCCAACCGCAGAGGCCAATAGGTCTCATGTGTTTTCTTTTTGGTCGCGAATAGTAAGTTCAGCGATGGTGAGGCCCGAAAATGCATCTTACTGATGATACCCAGAAGAATCCGCGATCAAAACCTCCCACGGAACAATCTACCCAATCGAATTTGTCGGCTTTTTCGAATTTTTCTCTGGATCCTGATACATTGAGCGATCTTGTACAATCCAAAGATGTCCAGGGGTTCCATGCTCTGGGTGGGGTAAAAGGTTTGGAGGAAGGACTACGGACCGACGTCCACTCCGGTTTGAGCCTGGACGAGACCTACCTAGATGCTCCTGTGAATGTCGCTACGAGTACTACAAGCACTGCACCAACAGAAAAGGCCGCTATCCCTGAGCCCCATATCTCAACAGAGCACGATCACGATGCATTCATCGACAGAAGGAAATTCTTCGGGGACAATCGTCTACCCATTAAACCATCCCCGAGCTTCCTGTCATTGATTTGGGCAGCCTACAACGACCACGTCCTATTCCTTCTAACTGGGGCTGCTATTATCTCGCTTGCTTTGGGGCTGTACCAGACATTCGGAACCAAGCATACTCCTAACAACCCCCCGTTGAATGGGTGGAGGGCGTTGCCATCCTCGTCGCTATCGTCGTCATTACTCTTGCTGGTGCCGCGAATGACTATCAGAAGGAGTACAAGTTTCGGAAACTCAATAAGAAACAGCAGGATCGCAATGTTTGGGTCCTTCGATCTGCAAGGATTCATGAGGTTCCCATCTCCGAGGTTGTTGTTGGTGATATTGTCCACATTAGTCCTGGAGATATCGTGCCTGCTGATGGAGTGTTGCTAAGGGGTCATCAGGTCAAATGCGATGAGTCCTCAGCAACTGGCGAGTCTGATCCGGTCGGTAAGAGCGCTATCGATACAACTCGTCCTGATGGCTCTCATGAGATCGACCCCTTCATCCTCTCTCATACCAAGGTTGTGGAAGGCGTTGGTGCATACCTCGTCTTGGCTACAGGCACAAAATCAAGCTACGGCAGAATCCTCCTCTCTCTCGACACCGATCCAGGGTTCACTCCGCTTCAAGTACGGCTCAGCACTCTTGCAAAAAACATCGCCCGCTTTGGTGCACTTGCGGCGCTTGTGCTGTTCGTAATCTTGTTCATCAAGTTCTGTGTCGGTCTCCGGAATAGCACCGAATCCGCCTCAGAAAAGGGACAATCGTTTTTGAATGTCTTCATTCTGGCATTGACTGTCGTTGTGATCGCAGTCCCCGAAGGACTTCCCTTGGCAGTTACACTTGCGTTGTCATTTGCTACTACTCGAATGATGAGAGATAACAACTTGGTTCGACAGCTCCGAGCATGTGAAACGATGGGACAGGCCACAGATATCTGTTCAGACAAGACGGGAACGCTGACGCAGAATGAAATGACTGTTGTCTCTGGATTTTTCGGTGATACCTTGCAATTTACGGATCGAGCTAGCAGTCCAAATATTTTGGATGAACAAAATTCCTCATCTGTGGCAAAATGCATGAGCCGTCTTTCGGCTCAATCGAGGTTGCTTTTGAGGCAATCTTTCGCGATCAACTCGACTGCAATTGAAAGCCAATATGACGGAGGCCGACAATTTCTTGGGTCCCAAACAGAGGCCGCCTTGCTGAGATTCTCCCAGGACTATCTCGAGCTAGGTCAGCTTGACTATGACCGTGCTAGTGCGGAAGTTGTGGATCTTTTACCTTTTGATGCTTCTCGCAAATACATGGTCACAGTCGTAAAACTGGCCGGTGGTTCATATCGAGCATATGTAAAAGGTGCCCCAGAGATTCTCCTTGAGAACTGCGCCACAATTTCACAACCAATGCAAGGGCTTGGTACTGCTCCACTCAAGGAGGAGGGTATTGTCCAAATACGCCAGACAATTGCTCAGTATGCCTCACGATCCTTGCGCACAATTGCGATTTGCTTCCGCGATGTGGAGGATTTGCCCTACAGGGGCGAGGAGGAAACTGTCAACTTCGAGGCGCTAATGAAAGAGCTTACATTCCAAGCACTTCTAGGTCTACAAGACCCTCTCCGGGCTGATGCTTGGGCTGCTGTAGATACCAGCCACAAAGCAGGTCTCACTGTACGCATGGTGACCGGTGACAACCTTCTAACAGCAAGGGCCATTGCAGAGGAATGTGGAATCATCAACAGTCCAGATGATCTTGTGATGGAAGGCGATAAATTCCGTGCATTGACTGAATCAGAGCAGAGCGAGCTAGTTCCACACCTCAAGGTTCTTGCTCGATCTCGTCCAGATGATAAACGTGTTCTGGTCCAGCGTCTCAAGGATCTCGGGAGAGTCGTCGCTGTCACTGGAGACGGTACCAACGATGCTCCCGCCCTTGCAGCTGCTGATATCGGATTTTCGATGGGAATATCTGGCACTGAAATTGCTCGTGAGGCTTCCTCTATTGTCCTGCTGGATGATACGTTTTCTTCGATTGTCAAGGCTATCATGTGGGGGAGAGCAGTCGGCGATGCTGTCAAGAAATTCTTGCAGGTAAGATAGAGACTCTATCAACAAAGAGTACAGATGGCAGGTCGATCTAATTTCCGTTTTCCAGTTCCAAATTACCATCACCTTCACCTCCGTGGGCCTGGCATTTGTCTCAGCGGTAGCCAACTCATCGCAAGAGTCCGTTCTAACACCAGTGCAGCTCATGTGGGTAAACCTCTTTCAAGACACTCTAGCAGCTCTAGCGCTAGCAACCGATCCTCCTCCTCGCCGGATCCTTGACCGCAAACCCGAACCAACATCTACACCTCTGATTACTCCTATCATGTGGAAGATGATCATTGGCCAATCTGTGTATCAGATGGTAGTAACACTGGTCCTGTATTTTGCTGGTTCTTCTATCTTTTCATATCACAGTGCTCTTCAAACATCACAGTTGCAGACTGCTGTTTTCAACACCTATGTCTGGATGCAGATATTCAATATGTACAAGTATGTTGAAACCACTATTATTATTATTTTTCTTCTCACTAATCCCAATACAGCAATCGACAAATTGAGCGATCATTTAACCTCATCGAAGGGATCCATCATAACTGGCTCTTTATAGCAATCACCTGCGTTATGATGGGTGCTCAAATCCTGATTATGTTCGTCGGCGGGCGGGCATTCTCAATCACGCAGTTGACTGGCGATCAATGGGCATATTCCGTCATTCTCGGAGCAATATCTATCCCTGTAGGGTTCCTTCTGCAAGCTATTCCCACTGTCGTTGTTGAGAAACCAATGGCAGGCATGGGGCAGCTATGGGACGGCTTACGCCGTCGGTGATATCCCTGTCTTTCCTTTCCATTTATTTTCTTTTCTCAATCAACCTCGCGAGCGTCTTTTAATCTTGCATGGCCATCTAGATGGAATAGCCGTAAACTGGCTTTTGAATACTCACTCCTTTTTAGCATCCACTTGCTCAATATCGTAGTCCCTTATAAGGGTTGCCATTAGTTTGAGTAGCTCGAACTGGGCAAGGTTGCGGCCGAAGCGATGGTTGTACCCAGCTCCCCACTATATGGCGCTCAAGCTCGCGGGGATAGAAATAGAGCTTGAATGTCTTATTTTGGCCTAGTAGACAACCAAATATTTCCAAATTACAGTTATAGAACCTTAAATAAGCAGGGTATCTTAACTAGTACTGTTATTCTTCGGTAATAGAGATAAAATGAAGTTGTGCATTGGACAAGGTGTTGGGGGGTTGCTTAGGCACCACCTCCCACGTGAAGAATATCGGAACAAGCCGAATAGATAGAGAGTGCATTACACCTTACCTGGTCATTGTTGACACCAAACACTCTTGATCACCACATCATTTCAAGATTCTTCAATACCTTTCTTTCCCTCTTACCTTCTGCTGTACCCTCATCTAACCAGCATGCCTACCAACTTTCCCACGTTGAGGTCGCGTTCGCGCAGACGTATTGCAGACCACCTACAAGCCCGCAATCAAGTGATCGGTGCGGTAACTCAAGTTTACAACCGGATTGAAAGGTATAGCTCTGCTCAGGTTGACCCTGCGTCGTACAAGTTTCTGGGGATCGATTTTGGATTGCTCCAGCTAGACGAGAATGGAAGTCATCTCCATCCCACAAACTACGATCCCTCTGACCTGACGTTTTTCGAACCTCGAGGGGCCTCGTGGGTTCCCCCTGTTGTCATTACCAACCCCAACTACGCGGACCACCTGAGGGTTCTAACTGAGGAATGGGACACTGTTCAAGATCACCTGTTAATCTTCTATCCCAGGCATCGTATGTCTTTTCAGCGGTGGAGTGGATTTTTTTCAGTTTCGTCGACAGTTTTACCATCCAGGAGATGGTCGAGTCCCACCTAACCTCAGACAAATGTCGCAGTGGCTAGAGAGGTAAGAGATTTTAGTTCTTTCCGATATGATAGACATGCTAACGTACGCTTCATAGCGGTGATATGGTGCCATCAGTTGTCGCTGACAAGTTTTACTCGGCTATTTTCGGATCAATTCGATGGTCACTATCCGCCGCATTTGTGCCAAAGACACTACTGTATCCGTCCGGGGTACCCCCGCACACTATGATCATGATTTTGATTGGCGAGCAGCCTAGCGAAGAGCTATTGCGGGTAGAGGTAATGACTATTACCGCAGTTATGATCACACGGCTGGAAGGCGAGGAATCGTTGGCGTACAACACCATCCCAGTGAGCACAGATTAAAGATGCCCTTATACGACTCAGGCTAATATAAATCTATTACAATATAGGTTATGGCTATTACTATATTCGGGCAACTGAAAGCTAGAGTGATCGAAGCCCACACCAGTCAACAGGGGGTTGTTATCAAGAAGGCGCGGCTTTTTGACTTCTCGACGAACGAACTTGCGAACAAAAGTATGAACATCCTACTCGGATTCATGTGCGCCGACCTAGTCGGAGACCCTAAGGGACCCATCTTCCTCCCCAATATTGTTGGGGTTTGTACAATAGCTGCGACCGACTGGAGAAAAGCACTGACCATGAATTAGGGCTCGCCAAAAGCCGATAAGTCGGAGGTAGCCAAGGGTGGAACGTTGCGGAAGCTTTTCGGGAAGAGGCGCCCTCGAGCCGGGTCAGATGCAGAGTCGGAGTTACCGGAAGAAGTCCTCAGATAGCCAACGCTGCAGCCCAGTTTTTTCTGTCCAATAGCGACAGTGATTGAGTAATTCTGCTGGGAATATAAGCTAGTGCAGTACTCCCTGCCGGCTTGCGCCGATCTGACTGAAATAGTGAAAATAGTATGCATTAGCGTTGACCTGTATCGCAGTTCATAGCGACCACCAGGCTTCTATTGTTAGCATGATTTTCTTACTTATTATAACATAATAATTAATCGAATAAGCACTTATAGATATCATATATAGAAACCTCGCTTTGTAGGAATTGGGTGTTCGTTTAGGCCTAATTTCCAAGTAGCTATTTATCGGCATCTTAAAAGACGCCTCAAAAGACAACTGTATTCTCGGGGTTATCTGATCCATAAGCTGGGACGTGATGATCTCACTATCGCGGCTGCACAGGTAAATATGCTCAGCATCTGGTCACTCACAGCCTCTTGCTGGAAGTTGACCATGTAGTTGGTCAGCATCTTGCGGCATTTATGGATGAGCCAGAAGGCATGATGCACGTGTATAAGTGGCTTGTCGGGGCTCAACTCGTGTATGTATTCAACATCAGGCCGTGTCCTATCTCCGGCATCAGCTTTTATGCTCATCTCAACCAAATCCCGCGTTTCACCCTCTTTCTCCGTATATCTTTCGCTTTTGTAACAATTTTGCATATGGCGCAGACACTCATCATCGCTCTGCGGTGTGTTCCTCTGGGTGATCTGTGGGGCGTAGAAGGTAAATGCATGGGCTCGGTGATTATTTTTATTTCGACATCGGGGCTCGCTATAGCCTGTGACTTGCTTGTGCTGTTGTTGCCAATGAACATTATATTTCTTGCTATAGCCAAATCTAGCAAGGAAGCTCGCCTTGGTGCTTGTACTTTGCATGGGGATTTTGTAGGTTCTCTTGTCCTTTTCGTCGGCAATGAACAAAATGAGGTGGTTATCATCTATCTCTTTGGTGCGGTTGTGTAAGTATTTGCTCTCCTAGTCATCTTCCACTTACAGAATATAGAACGTCCATTCCCACGAATGGTGTCCATGATAGTGGCCCTCCGACACCCGGATGGCGCCACTTGGTATTTCTCTGTCGTGATGGCATGGTCGGCCACAGAAATTAGTTCCATTATCCCTCTTTCTCTCCCAGCATTGCGAGCTTGGTTCAGGTCTGAACAGAAATTGGTCGACGATGAACCATAGCGATTCAAAGAAACCGGGACGGTTGGCCTTCAATCAATTTCCCCGTAAGGCAGCTTATATTTGACGGACATGATGTTCATGAGACAACATTCGATGTGGACTGATGGGCAGATCGGAATCAGGAGACGCTTAGGGTTGTCAAGGATGGGCGGGTTCGAGTTGAGGATACGGTTCGCGTGGGTGTTGAAAGGCCCTCGTCCCGGTAGACGAGATTACGGTTATAGGGTTGAAGCAACTCGGCTTAGTGTCTACTGAGGGAATCGTTAATCAAAACAGATGTAAATGAATACTTCAATATGGTGGAACATGAGAAACAACGCCTTGCCATCCTTTCCGCCATTCTATGAGCTAACCAATGAGTAACTGTTCAGTTTGCTCGCTCTTTCTGTGAGGCTGTATCACTTGGGGATGTCATCTGAACGTTGGTTCTGTTCATGTCGGGTAGTTTGCCACAAAGTGTGGTGAGAGGCATAGGGTCCGTCTGATGGATGTATCCATTTGGAGAACCGGGTTGAGGCACACCATATCATACGGCCATTGAAGAGAGACTTTGAAAAGAACTAGTTTTAACTAGGCATGAGATAGGTTTCACCTGAGAAGCCTCCTCGGGGATAGATCTATGCAATTGATTCGTTCTTTAGAGAAACTTGATGGTCATGCGAGCCCAGGCTAAATTGGATCTTGAACACGCCCCAGATAAGTGGGTCCAAAAGAAATTCCAGGTATTTTTATATTATTAATGTACAGTATCAGTCGACTTCCGCCTGGGCACCTGGGCAGACGTAATTTACTATATTGTATGTAGTATTCATGTACATGGCACGTGGGCAACGTTGTTCTGTTGTACTGCCATCAGTTTGACTGTTCTGGGCCAAAAATGCTGGAACCAGTGAACCGGACTTGAGACTCACCTACCATTTTTTTTTTCTTTTTCTCGCCACCAAATCCTGGCCTCGAGATAGCAAATTCCTAAGTAAGTCCAATAAGCGCACGTGCGCTCGCCTGGAAGCACCCGACCTTCCAAGCAAATCGTGTAAAACAAGCGATAATAAGAGATAATAAGAGATATTTTCTAGAACAGACCTCAGCCATACGATAGAGACAGTCCGGGGATGAACCTCTTATACACCCACGTGTGGACTTACTGTGCTCTCATAGGTGAAGGTGGGCCGTGCGCCCCCACACCCGCCAAGAGCCGCAACTGTCCAATGGTCGAATCCCTGTAGCCAATCAGAGATCCATTTCGACTAAATTCCACTAAATCTATACCTAATCTGGACTCCTTCCATGGCATGTCAATTGTAAAAAGTTCCGCCCTGATGGTTGCCAAGATATTCAATTTGCTTGAGACCGTAAGCTTGCGGAAACGAGGCTTCTTGGCTAGACCTTGTTACATTTACTTTTCGCCAAGCCCACGAGGGCCGATTGATGGGCTCCCATTGCGAGTAGGACCAGCACGTGTGGCCAGAATGTCCCAAATGGGAAATTGTCCTCGGACGTTTGCTACACGCCCTAACGTACAGAGAACAGAGCCATATTCAATTAGAATCTTCCATACATAAAAAGGCACTCTTCTCTCCTTGGCCTTTGTTTTCTCTTCATCAGCGCCATTCAGTACTAAGCTTTCCCTTTGAGACTAAGCTTTGTCTTGATACCATCAAGATGACTCTTCACCAATACGATTACATCTTTGCCATCGGCACGTTGTTTGCAATGCTTGATGCATTCAACAACGGTGCAAGTGAGTATCAGCCTTATCTTCTTAATTGACCTCAACTAACCTTGGGATCTTTACAGACGATGTTGCCAATTCTTGGGCTACCAGTGTCTCTTCCCGCTCCATCTCCTATCGTCAGGCTATGGTCCTCGGTACCATTTTCGAATTCGTCGGAGCTGTCGCTGTCGGTGCCCGTACCGCTGATACTATCAAGAACGGCATCATCCCCAACTCAGCCTTCCAAGGCAATGCCGGTGTTCAGATGCTCGCCTTCACATGTGCCCTTGCCGCTGCATCCTCATGGGTGATGTGGTGTACCAAGAACTCCGCCCACGTCTCCTCCACCTACTCTCTCATCTCTGCTGTCGCCGGTGTGGGTGTTGCAACTGTTGGCGCTTCCCAGGTTCAGTGGGGCTGGAACGATGGCAAGGGTCTCGGTGCCATCTTCGCTGGTCTCGGCATGGCTCCTGTCATTTCCGGTTGCTTCGCTGCTATCATCTTCATGTTGATCAAATACACTGTGCACGTGCGGAGAAACCCTATCGCCTGGGCCGTCTGGAGTGCTCCTTTCTTCTTCCTGGTTGCTGCCACCATTTGCACACTCTCCATTGTCTACAAGGGTTCCCCCAGTCTGGGCCTGAGCAAGAAGCCCGGTTGGTACGTCGCTGCTGTCACTATGGGCACTGGTGGTGGTGTCTGCCTCTTGTCTGCTATCTTCTTCGTTCCTTTCCTCCACTCCCGCGTGATCAAGAAGGACCCCTCTGTGAAATGGTGGATGTTTATCCAGGGTCCTCTGCTCTTCAGCCGTCCCGTCCCTACAGATTCCGAGGTCTCCAAGGTCCCCAACTACGCTGTCGTGCAAGATGATACCGAGGAGTACGAATCTCACCTGCCTATCGATGAGAAGGAGCCCAAGGTCGGTGCTGCCTCTATCCCTAGCTCTACAGAGGAGCGATCCGTTGAGAAGCTCGAGGCCAATAAACCCTCCTACCGCGAACTCATGGCCCAGTCTGAGGACCGTCACAACGCCAAGCTCCTCAAGAGCCGTGGTCCCATTGGTTGGGCTATGCGCCTTCTCCGCGACAACCCCATGGGCCCCGGTGAGATCTACGAGATCCGCAACATGAAGCGCATGGCCAAGCGTCTCCCCGCCATCATCACTGTCGGTCTTCTCTACGGTTTCCACTACGACATCCACACTGCCCAGAGTGGTAACGAGGGTACTCCCGAGGGTGATCGCATGAAGCGTGTCTATGCCAACGCCATCAAGTACCCCAACGAGGTCGAGCACACATACTCCTTCATCCAGGTCATCACCGCTTGCACTGCTTCCTTCGCTCACGGCGCCAACGATATCGGTAACTCTGTCGGTCCCTGGGCTGCCATCTACTCCGCCTGGTCCACCGGTACCCCCGCTGCCTCCAAGTCCCCCGTGCCTATCTGGCAGCTTGCTGTTCTGGCCATTTGCATTTCCATTGGTCTTTGCACTTACGGATACAACATCATGAAAGGTAAGCACTTCCTCTTTTCCCTTTTTCCAATCTTCATTTTTACTAACTGTCCACTTAGTCATGGGTAACAAGATCACCTACCACTCACCGTCCCGTGGATCATCCATGGAGATGGGCGCCGCCATCACGGTGCTGGTCTTCTCTCAGTTCTCCCTGCCCGTTTCCACCTCGATGTGCATCACCGGTGCTACCGTCGGTGTTGGACTCTGCAACGGGACTTACAAGGCCGTCAACTTCCAGCGTGTCGGTCTTTTGCTGTTTGCTTGGATCATGACCATTCCCATCGCTGGTACCATCGGTGGATGCCTGATGGGCTTGGTCCTCAACGCTCCCCATTTCCTCACCGTTTAGACATTTGTTTTGTTTGGCATTTTTGATTCCCCCGTGAAAATTTTTGAATAGCGCGCATATTTTACTTAATTCTTCTTTTGAAATACCAATTTAGATTTTGGACTGTCAATCATTTACAACACATTTTAGAAGATTCAGTAATGGCTCATGTGCACTATTATTGGAAATAGCAGACTTTAATAGAGACCAATGTTACAATATGGCCTTCAACGTTCTATATGATAAAACAAGAACAGTCGGCCGCTTATGCGGTCTTGTGATGTCTCTTTAGTGGTCTTCTCAAATATTATGTTTGGATGCCTTTTTTATGATATTTTCTCCCCGTTTTATACAACATAGGTAGACGACAGAAAGGAGGAAGCTTGATTTCTGAAAACGACCATAACCTGGGAAATAAAAAATAATGCACATAAATTCCTCTTATAAATGGGCAAGGAAAAAGCAAAAGCAAAAAAATAGTTTCCCTGGGAATCGAACCCAGAACCTTTCCGGAACATATGCTAATTGCATTTGTTAACGGAAAATCATAACCGCTAGACCAGGAAACTGTTCGACCACTTGGGCCAATTGATGGAAAGAAGACCCAGATTTGCCATTATGAGCTAATTTTTATGTTCATCCCTCTTTTTCGGGCTTGGAACAATAGCATAATATTTTTCCCTATCTAGAGACGAATTTACGGATAGTTCATTGTGATCTGGTAGGCTTAACTACTTTATTCACTTCAATACTCAAATCAAGATCGAAAGAAAAAGGATTACATCCAAACAATTCATACATATATTCTCACATGCAGTAGTTACATATTCTGGATCCATAGTCTGTGATTCTCAATCCCAAACTCACATCTCCTCAGCAACCTTGAGCAACTCATATCTTTCTCTTTGCAAGTAATCATAAGTGACAATCTTATGACGAGCATCCTGTTCGATAGATTCCCATTCCTCGAGAGAAATAATGACCTCGCCATCCTGTTTCGGAAAAATAGTCATCGGGCGGCTACGTTTTGCCAGGCCGACCTTGAAAAACCCAAGCCGGAACTGGGTCTGCTTTGTCGGTTTGTGAGGAGCTCCAAATACAAATGGTTCTTTCGGACGTTCGTAAGGTTCTCCATTGAGTGCTGATGTGAGGCCCATCTGGAAACATTCTTGTCTGAACCGGTCCCGGGCCGACCCCGGCTTGGGCATTTCGTACGCAGCTTGATCACGCGGAACTTTGGCTGGAGCTGTGGTCGGGCCAGTGGATGGCTCTGATTGTTGGGGCTCATCAGGGATGCTTGGGACATTTGCTGCCATCTCATCTGTGGCACCATCTGTGTTGCCATCTCTGGTGTCATCTGTACCATCTGTAGGGCCTCCGCTGGGCTCGTCTTCGTATTCATCCTCAGTGTCGGTATCGGTGTCATCTCCAGAATCGCTCCAAGACTCGTAACCAAGTTCTTCTGCGAGGATCTTTCCAAGAACCTGGTTGTGCGAGGCCGCCTCATTATCTATTCCTTGCTGCAGATGCTTCTCGTCCACCTTTCGTTGAATCGGCACCTTACACCGGGGCTTTCTGATTTTAGTAAGCGGACGTTGCTTGATCAAAGGTAGTTGCAGTTTGACGAGAGCCCCCTTCCAAGTCCTCGAATGTCGCTTGCGTTTGACTTCGGTCGAGACAGAGTTGTTCTCAGTCTTGTCGAATTTTGTGTGTAACGCGATAGCGTCCTCATGAGCACGCAGTCTCGCAGCCCGAGTATGCTCACTGATTCCATGCCTGGTGACATCCAGAAAAAAACTCAGGTCCTGACATTCGACGCCCTCTTTCGGATCCATGGCGCAAGGGTTCGCTTTCACAAAGTGCTGATGAGCTTTGCTCATGTTTCCGCGCAGAAACTCAACTCGACCCATCCAAAACTCACACTTGGCAACGAGGAGGGGATTTTGGGATCTATTTGCAGATTGCCTGGCGAGCTTGACCATGACCTCGGCTTCGGAGGGATTTTGGTTGGCGATGAAGTTCGAGGCTGGTAAGAGATAAGAACCAACCTCAACCCGATGGTACACATGGAAGATGTCTCCCGTAGTCATCTCAATGGACATGCTATTGATGATAGCTGCAAGAGCCTTGAGCTTCTGTTCTCGCAAAGCGCGGGCTTCCAGTATGAGCTTTTGCTCCTCTTGAGAAGAGAGGGGAGGTTTGGTCTGCCAGGAGCCCCCGGAATTTCTCGCGTGGGGTGTGTTGTCGGACATGGTCGAAAGACTGCTTTACCTCACAGGCCTTTGAGGGGTTGATCTTGATACGTTTGTGAAGTATGATATGATCGGATTGTTGCTGGGCATGCAATTCAAAAATCACTGTCAGATAAAAGAGATGGAAGATAATATTGATATTTCGGGTGTTGATGAAGGAAGATAGCAACCAAGCGAGAAACAGTGGCCTTTATGTACATGGCAGACGCGTCGACAAGAAAGACAACAAACGCGTTGAAGGGCGTTTTATCAAGACAAGTTTGAGACAAAGACAGTTATCTATAGGGATACCAAAACCTGAGTAGTTCTTTCCTTTGTTTCTTTCAATCCCATTGTTAACCTCGCTGAAACCGAAACGGCACATTATATTACTCCGTTCGTTTTGTGTAGCTTTGGCTTAAGCTGTACAAACTCAGCAATAGATCAAGATAGTGAGTTTCATGCCCATGTAGTAGGAAGCATTCTCTACCTATGTAGCCCCAGAGAAGTTATTTTAGCTAGGTCAAAATATACTTACGTTGTACTTAAGGTAGAAACTGTGGCGGGTTGCCAGTGGAGAATTAAACAAATGTTATTCTATTACAATTTACTTGAAACTGAAGGTCAAACTGTGGAAATTTGGTTTATGGTAAAATTCATTTGAAACACTATTCATCAGCTTGAGAACATCACAACAGGGTATTCCCATAGAAAAATATTCGCACTTTTTGGGCTGATCTACTGAAGTTGAAGAATGAGCATGAAAAGCGCCCATTTACTATACCCGGCGGCCCCGAGCAGCATGCCCTCACATGCCCCTCAAGTAACCCAACTCTCGTTATTCCCCCCTTCCAACCTGATTCCCAATCTCCATCTGACATTTCCGGGACTACTTCGTCCTGACTACTGTGTAACAGTGATCAAACTGGACACGAGCTGGACTGCTTATTGCGAGAGTCATGTATCAACGAATGAACTAGACGGAATACCAAAGTAGCGACATCAAACCAATAGATACATTCTGTAGTATTTCAGAGATTGGCTTTATTTTCGAGATGAGTCACTATCTTCCCAGTCTAATAATGCGTGGGTAGATGCTGCCGCCGAGTGATCAAACTCAGCAGCCTCTATGTGCGTAAATCCAATGATAGCCTCCCGTTGAAACTCACGGGCCTTTTCGCTGTAAACTGGTATGTCCAGTGCTCGCGAAAGCGACCAGTAAGCCTCTGGGAACCTTTCAAATTTCATGAGGTTCATACCTTTGATAAAATAAGTAATGCCTGCAATAATGCTAGATTCTGGGTTATCCAAGACGGCATAGCACGTGTTAATCTGCACAACGGCCTCTAGGCTCGTCATGGACTCTTCATATTGGCAAAGAGAGTGTTGAACGGCAGCAATAAAAAGTCGACATCGCATCTCATCAAGTTCGCACAGAAAGGGGTTATGGCTAATGACCTGCGAAGCAAGCTCTGTTGCAAGCTCTGGATCACCACGTTGCCACCGCTCTTCTGCGTCTACTAGTAATAGACCACTGTATGAACAGAGCCAGATATTATCGATAGAGGTTGGCGTTATTTCTGTTGGCGAAATTGTTCTAGGAATGTCAGATGGAGATTGGGAATCAAACTGAAAAGGAGGAATAACGAGAGTGGGGTTACTTGAGGTGGTATGTGCGAGCATAAAATCGTGCTCTACGAGCCGCGTCCGAAGATCGTACACTGCATTGATGGCTCGAGACAATTCTTGTTCTAGCTCGGCTTTCTCGCGGCTTACTTGGTCAAGGTTGGTGTAGACCTTGGAGGTGGACCGTCGGGACTTGCTAGGCTTGCGCAGACGTCGAAAAATGTTGGCCATTTTGGAATGGGAATACCCTGTTGTGATATTCTCAAGCTGATGAATAGTTTGTTTGAGATGGTTCTTTCGGGGTTTATATACTGGTCCGTCGAGCAATTGCCGGGGTAGCTTCCAAGGACAACTCCATACTGATGAAAGAGATCATTGTTTGGTGTAAGAGATCATTCAATGCTGCTTCTTTGAAGACTACTTCATTGTGGTGAAGACTAAGAAACATTCAATGTTGTTGAAACATGCTTTTTCACAATCTTTTATACTCAACATAGACTGGCAACATCTCTAAGAACAAACAAGAGTGGAGTTGCCTGACTTTTATGGCAATATTATGCAAACTAAGCAAAGCTTACAAACAGACAAACCCAGCAAACACGACAAAGCAAACATAGCAAACTTTACAAAAGCGACAAACACATACCTATGACATCACCAATCCCCATCTACAGCACCTCTACTGGCAAGATGCAACCACAAAGTGGAATACTCGGTGTCAGCATGGTTCGGGTTCAGGTGAGTCAACTTTTTGTCTATGATTTGTCCAATCTGACACTACAGATCTTTCCGCAATAAGCCGCTTACACGGTCAGGCCATGAATCTAGACTTGCGGGGTCCTGTTGCAAACATGCTCAAGACAAAACCGGGTTAGAGGACCAATCTGCATGTTTAATCACATTTATAAAGTCTGCATAGCGCGCCTAAAAAGAATGAAGTTCTTTCCACCTTCCTTCCCTACAATTTCCTGTAGACCAGGTCGTCATATAAACTACCCGTGCTGCATACCCGCTCTTGCCGTTCTCTAATAATTTGTCATAGAGATTTAGAACCTTGGGAGGCTTTTCAGGTACTGATCCCTTCAAGTGTTTGAAATTCATTGCCAAGGTCTTCCACTTTGTCTTACCCAATACCAATCTCTACTTGCCTTTTTCTTTTGCTGCTTTCGTTTTCTGAACTGACATACCCTCCCAGTCATGTCTCCTACGGCACTCAGAAACGTCGACACGGTAGAAATTGTGAATATCCACCAAGATGATATGGAATTCTCTCTAGTGGATGATATCTACAAGAATCTGGACCCGCCAGCAGGCAAACCTCGCGCATTCCCTACCCTCCTACTCTACGATGCCAAAGGATTGAAGCTCTTCGAAGAGATCACTTACTTGGATGAATACTATCTCACCAACACGGAGATCGAGATTTTGACAAAACATGCGAAGAGGATAGTTGCACGCATTCCGGAAAATGCACAGCTGGTGGAGCTCGGCAGTGGGTCCGTGACCCCTACACCCTGGAACCAGATGATCTTGTCCATTCTGATAATTTTTTTATTTTAGAAACCTGCGCAAGATCGAGATTCTGCTTCGGGAGTGTGAACGAACCGAAAAGAAAGTAGATTACTATGCTTTGGACCTTTCACTGGTGGAGTTACAGCGAACGTTCTCTGAAATCTCACCCGAGAGCTTCATCCATGTAGGATTCCATGGTCTCCATGGAACATACGATGATGCTGTCGGCTGGCTGAAAAGGCCAGAAAATCGGAAGCGACCCACTGTGGTCTTGTCGATGGGATCATCCATGGGAAATTTTAGTCCTTCGGGTGCTGCGGAATTTCTTGGTGGTTTTTCCAAGCTGTTGAGCCCATCTGATTTCATGCTTATCGGACTGGATGCATGCAAGAACGCGGAGAAGGTGTTTAAAGCCTATAATGATGCCAAAGGCATTACTCGCCAATTCTATGAGAATGGTCTCCTGCATGCCAATACGGTTCTTGGCTTCGAGGCCTTCAAGCCTGATGAATGGGAGATCTTGACTGAATACGATCCCCGTGAGGGCCGGCATCAAGCATTTTATGCCCCGAAGGTTGACGTAGTCATCAATGGGATCAAGATTCTCGAAGGAGAGAAGCTCATCTTTGAAGAGGCATGGAAGTACGGTCGTGACGAACGGGATGAGCTGTGGCGCAATGCAAACCTCATTTCCCAGGTCGAATTTGGAAATTTGACAGATGATTATCGTGAGCCATGACATTGTGGTTGAATCGTCACTGCAGATTTGCTAACTTGTTTTTGAACAGATCTCCATCTGCTATCACCCGCTGCGCTTGATGTGTCTATGGATCCCTCGAAGTATGCAGCCCAACCGATCCCGACTATCGACAACTTCCAGTCTCTGTGGACTGCATGGGATCTCGCGACTAAAGCCATGGTCCCTCGCGAGGAGCTTTTATCCAAACCAATCAAACTTCGAAATGCGCTGATCTTTTATTTTGGCCACATTCCGACATTTTTCGGTACGTCTCCAATGTTCAATATTGCTTATCATGTTCACTACTAATCATGCTGGAACCCAGATATTCATCTGACGCGGGCTTTGCAGGAGGAGCCTACTGAGCCTAGTCATTATAAACTGATTTTTGAGCGCGGCATTGACCCGGACGTCGAAGATCCACAGCAATGCCATTCCCACAGCGAAATACCTGATGAGTGGCCGCCATTGGACGAGATCTTGGACTACCAAGATAGAGTACGGAATCGTGCGCGTTCAATCCTACAAGAGGGATATGCTTCGGAAGACCGCGCTCTTGGGGAGGCTCTTTGGATTGGGTATGAGCATGAAGCAATGCATCTCGAGACTTTCCTCTACATGCTACTTCAGAGTGATAAAACTCTTCCTCCCACAGGAGTTGATCGCCCAAATTTTGAGCAAATAAGTCGCCAAGCGAAGAGAGACGAAAAGCCAAACAAGTGGTTCAGGATTCCACAGCAGACTATCAAAATTGGATTGGATGACTCCAACGAAGAAGTCATGCCAAATGAATCTTTTGGATGGGACAACGAGAAGCCCCAAAGAAAGGTCACTGTGCATGCCTTTGAAGCTCAAGCGAGACCCATCACCAATGGTGAATATGCCAAGTACCTACAAGTTAAGGGCATTCAAACATATCCCGCGTCCTGGGTGTTTCACCCGGGTCAAGACAAACCAATTTCCAAGGGCATCGGTTCCTCAGGCGCCCATGCCGGTTCGAGCTCTAGTACTGCGACATTTTCTCTGGAGGACTTCACAGTTCGAACTATGTTCGGACCTGTGACTCTTGAGGTCGCAAAAGACTGGCCATTGATTGCTTCCTACGATGAAGTGGCGAGCTATGCAAAGTGCATGCAATGCAGGATCCCCACATTTGAAGAGACCAGGAGCATATATCACTACTCGGACCAACTCAAGAGCCGTCGAGTCACGGATGGCCACAGGTATGAAAAGAAGCGTTGTTACGGTATAGCAGAAACTAACTTATAAAACAGGAATGGAGCCAATGGGGTTGCTAATGGTATCAAACCCAATTCTACTGATCATACTGTTTTCCGTGATCTCACTGGTTGCAATGTTGGCTTCAATAACTGGCACCCTGTTCCTGTCACGCCCAATGGGGATCAGTTAGCTGGTCAGGGTGAAATGGGAGGTGTTTGGGAATGGACTAGTACACCATTGATGCCGCACGACGGCTTCAAACCTATGGACATCTACCCTGGATACACATGTAAGTGATGCCCAGAGCATCGACACCAACTCTAAACTAACTGACCTCTACAGCGGACTTCTTTGATGGAAAACATAATATCGTTCTCGGAGGCTCCTGGGCTACTCTGCCTCGCATTGCTGGCCGGACTACTTTGTGAGTATAGGCCCTATGATATTTCCGGACCAACTAACACATTTTAGTGTCAATTGGTATCAGCATAACTACCGCTATACATGGGCGGGTGCACGTCTAGTTAGAGATCTATAGATAGAGTTCGAGCAATGTCAAAATGAGCCCCTAGAGATGTCCAGGGGGCCAAGTGGAGTGCCCAATGACCTCATCCTCCCGATAAGAGATAAACCGTGGGGGGTGTAACGTGACTGCCCCTCATCCCTTCCCTAACATCGTCTCCAATTCCTTGTCTTCTCTTCATATTGAATTAATACCTTGCATGATGTCGCTAGAAACTATCAAGACTATCTCCCCCGCCACCAATGAGCCTGTTGTCACCCGCACCGGTGTCTCACCGGAGGACTTGAAACAGATCCCCGTGAACGCCCAAGCAGCTTTCCGGTCATTCTCGCAGTCCACAACTTTGGAGCAAAGGCAGAAAATTGTGGAACGTGCCCTTGACGTCTTGGAGAAAAAGCAGGATAAATTGGCACGTGAGATTACCGAGCAGATGGGCCGGCCCATCGCCTATACTGGTGTCGAAGTTGCAACGGCCATCAAGCGCAGTCGTTACTTGACCCGTATTAGTACCTCCGTGCTAGGTGAGCAAGGAATTGTGCCCGGAGAAGAGGAGAAGGGATTCAGACGGTATATCAAGCGTTCGCCTGTCGGCGTGGCGCTGATTATCTTCCCGTGGAACGTGAGTTCAATTTCGTCAAGATATTAATATACCTGCAGACTACTGATAGGTTTATACATAGTACCCCTATCTCACTCTTGTCAACAGCCTGATTCCCGCCATTCTTGCTGGAAACGCTGTTATCCTCAAGCCCTCCCCCCAGACTCCAACAATCGTCGAGCAGTTTGCCTCTGCTTTTGCCGAGGCTGGTCTTCCCGAAAACGTGCTTCAATTCTTCCACTGCGGATCTTTCACATTCATTGAGACCTTGGTGCGATCTCCACTGGTGAACCACATCTGCTTTACAGGTTCCGAAGCTGGTGGCCTGGCAGTGCAAAAGGCAGCCTCTGATCGAATTGTGAATGTTGGTCTGGAACTTGGCGGCAAGGACCCGGCCTACGTACGAGACGATGTAGATCTTGCCTGGGCCGCTGAGGAAATTGTGGATGGCGCTATATTCAATAGTGGACAAAGCTGCTGCGCAATCGAGCGTGTCTATGTCCACGAGAAGGTCTACGATGGGTTCATTGCCGAGGTGAAGAAGGTCCTGAGCAATTACCGTGTCGGCGAGCCTTCCGATCCCAAGACCCAAATTGGACCTGTTGTCTCTACGCGCGCGAAGGAGGCTATCCTTGCGCAGATCGAGGACGCTGTGAAGAAGGGTGCGAAGAACGAGACTCCTGCCAATGAGACCTTTGAGAACTTCCCTCCGAATGGAAATTATGTCAAGCCTACCCTGCTCACCGGCGTTAATCATGATATGGCCGTGATGAAGGATGAAACCTTTGGACCTGTAGTTCCTGTTATGAAGGTCTCGGGTGACGACGAGGCAATTCGTCTGATGAACGATAGCGACTTCGGACTTACTGCCAGTGTTTGGAGCAAGGACGTTGCGGCGGCCGAAAAGCTGGTTGAATGTGTTGAGGCTGGCACCGTCTTCGTCAACCGATCTGACTTCCCTAGCCCCGTAAGTGCGGCTATTTCCATTTACTATTGTCACCCTTCGCTAATTGAAGTGCCCTATAGGACCTTGCTTGGACAGGCTGGAAGAACTCTGGCCGCGGTGTTACCCTGAGTCGATTCGGCTTTGAGCAGTTCGTTAAACTGAAGAGCCACCACATCAAGGATTACCCCAAATAAACATGTGCATGTGATATAAGTTACAATTTGTCGGCCAGGAGAATAGAATTTATCACGTAGATTACTATTCCGCACCCTTGAGTACTACATACGTACCACCTCCGACAGATCCACTATTTCTTTCCCGGGTTCGATCCATTTTAAGTAACAAACTGGCGGGTTTTGTCTTTCGCCGGCTATTTTAACCCGTTTTAGTAAGGTTTGATCTTCAAACAACAGGTGTATTTTTAGACTGCCAATGCTCCCGAGGTTTGATTCACTTCACCTGTTATTATTCACAATCGAAATCAGAATTCTCACCTCTCAAGCCCATCGTCATGTCGTCAATCCCACTGTCAGAGGACAACCCCTTCCAGTCTTTGATTGCGGAGGCAAACAACGATTCGGTGAGTAGATGCCCGAATTGCGAGGTAATATCAAATGTTTAACCCCTTTTTATTTTGATAATAGGCAACACTACAATCTCGTTATGAAAAGCACCGAGTGGCTCGCAACAGCCAGCAAAGTGCAAAGATCCTAGCAGACAGCTTTCCTGGCTGGTCCCTTGACGAGATTTTGAAGCGACTTGATGGCCCTGGAAAGGAAGACGGATTTGTCGACCCTCGAAACTGTCTTGTCATCTGGGCCAGACCCTCGCCTCAAGTTCGTAACCTGATAACCTTTGTTCAAAATGAGTTGAAGAGCATTTCTCCTTGTAAGTTCAGCAATATATAATTCTCTGAGGAATTCCCCTTTTAGCCATTTGTTTCGCTAACATGACCATAGCACTCTGGCTCATGCCACCTGAAAACCTTCACATAACTATCTTGGAAGCTGCTCATTCTCTGACAGAAGAGCAAATCGAAGAACTTGTCCAAGCCCTCCTGTCGTCCAAGGACGTCACGTCTAGAGATATTGCAGCGTATCCACGCAGCCACCCTACACGTCTCATCAAGCCCATGGTAAGCTTTGATTCCGCTGCACTGGCGCTCAGCTTTGTTCCGGCTGCCGGTGAGTGCCTAGAAGCGGAATCTAGTGGCGATAACGAGCAATACTCATACCATCACCTTCGCGGAGATGTCTTTGACATGGTCCGACAAACCAAGGTTCCTGTGGCTTCGCGTTATATTGTTCCCTCGGCACATCTCACTATCGCAAGGTTTATCTCCCAGGACGGGTTTACGGTCAAGGGATCAGATGGGACAGAGACGGTTGATCATTCGCGTGTCAAGTTGTTGGTTGAGAAAATTGGTGAGATTAACCAAAAGTTGGAAAATGAGTATTGGCCCAAGGAAGGTGCCATCAAGGAGGGCGGTGAATGGATTGTTGGGCAAGAGGGCTTGGTCATTCGGAGAGGCCGTGTCTGGTATGGAGGCGGCGAGTATGTGCCGCTTGAGTAGATATTCACTTGAGCAGATCAAACTTTATTCTCCTAGTTCTATAATTATTTTGCATGCGTATTAAGCGCAGCGATTCTCATAACTATGTAGACCTTCCTCGATGACTCAGTAGCCAGCTACAAGCCCGGAATTCATCGATTAGGGCTTAGGGTCATTTTAAGGACAGCGTGACATGGGCCCGGGGTGTTTGATAGTGGTGTTGCAACGCAGAACAAGGGACGCCAGAGCATGCTATTAGCTGCTAGTCAGATACCAATAAATGCAAAATAGTATGTGGCAATGATGTTGGGCCATCTCTAGTTTCCCCTTTCCAGCAAATCTGTTAGGTGCCTGAGGCACCAAGCACATCCAGGTCTATATCACGTGGGTCACGTGATGGCACGATTTTTCAAGAAAGGATATAAAGAGGCAATTCAAACGTTATTTAGCATAGAATGCTATATTAAATGGTAGAAATTGATTTAAAATGCCCGCTGCATCTACTGACATCAGATAAATAAGCCTTGGTGAGCGTCAAGCCGCATTTAGGCTTGGTCCCACTTTGTGCTCGCTTATAGTGCACATTTGGGCAAAATCTCTCAATAATAGTACGGCCGGCTGGCCCAATGGCAAGGCGCTTGACTACGAATCAAGAGATTGCAGGTTCGATCCCTGCGTCGGTCACTATCTTTTTGCTCATACTTTTTGTATTTTTACACTAGATAATCTTTTTGCTAAGTGATTTAGTGAGTAATTGTGGTGTTGGCACATCGAAATTTCATATGCAGCATCATGAGTTTGCCATATCCATATAATAAATACACTTCGTTTTATCTACAGGGTTTGAGGGTCCCAATTGAGTCGGTCTTTTTGAAACATGGTATTTGGGGGGGGTTATTGGGCTAGAAACGCTAGATGGTTGCTTGGTGGGTGAGATTTATACGAAAGTCTAGTCGCTATATTCAGTGGATGTGTGTCATTCCATTTGACCTAGATGTACCTTTGAAGTAATAAAAAGAGATAGAGTTGTAGCCAGCCTGAGTAAAATGAAGCGGGTAGAGCAAGAATATATTTCAGAGATCCATAGTTGTTCAGCCCATTGGGCGTACGACTCTTACCAGAGCATCCATCCAACCAAGCTCTCGAAGCAGTGATCATTCTCCTCCGCCAAATTACTTCTCTCGCTAAGCTTATTGCGCTCATTCAGAGCTTCAACTTTGAGCTGCTCGGCAGAAACAGCATTACCCAATCGTCGCTCTGAGCTACCAAGAAACCACAAGGCTCGAGCGAGATGCCCCTGCATTTCAGAGACCCCTCGGCTCATGTCAACAATTGCGCGAAGCATTTTCGCGGCTAGAACATTCTCGTCGGCAGCTACCAACATCCGAGCAACAAGAAACATGGAGTCAGCTACTCTAGGTCCTTTGTCACCAAACAGACCTCTGCGAATGGAAATAGTTCTAGAAGCAAGCTGCTGGGCCTCTGGCTTCAGCCCCTGAGCATACTTGATCCTCGCCAGAAGAACAATATCTCCACTGTGCTTGGGGTATTTGGAGTCAATTATCTGTTCTTCGGTCAGGTTTTGCAACTCCCAGCATTTCTTCAATGCCACCAATGCCTCCTCTGGTTGTTCAGCGCGGAGATATGTCATGGCGTAGATTGCATGTGTTCTGGCCATATGAAGCGGGTTGTGTGCGTTGTGAATAGCTGCCGCCTTTGAAAGATATTGGAATGCTTCGGTAACCATTCCTTGCTCGGTGTAACTGCAGGCGATCGAGTCGTACACGTCTGCAATCGGGGGAGAATTTTCTTTTTCTAATTTCTCTCTTACGGTTAATGCCCTTTGATAGGCACTCAACGCAGAGTCTGGTTGGGCCAAGTCTAGTGCAATGTGACCTAACAGCCGACAAGCATGCGCATAATTCCGAGTGGAGTGGCTGATCTCAAGAGAAAGACCATATTCAAAGAAGTAGCGTGCAGTCGTCGGTTGTTCGCGTTCCCAAAGGTATCTTTCGAAAGTTAGATCCAGAGAAAAACCTCTTAACCGGAAGAACCAATTCAACTCACGTTCCAGCGCGGAAAATCAACTCGGCAAATAACTCCACGTTAGTGGTCTTGAGCGAGTGCGTCTCGACCAATATCATAAGCCTGCTGACATGCGGTAGAATTACGCTGCAGGTTTGCCATAATTTCCATCCGTGGCCTTGCTGATTTGTCCTTTCGATCCACGAGTTCGGAAAACTGGAAGACAGCATTTGAATTGCACAATCCAAGTAAATCAGTACATCTACCTCAGGCAAACGTGAGAAGACAGTAGATTGGATGAGTCGGTGTAATGTGATTGCTTTCATTGCGGGTGATCGGACAATCAGCGATGCTCTTGTTAAACTGATGATGGCATCACCTAACCTGTTCATTGTGAGCAATACAGAATGTGTTACATAGAAATTGAAACATACTCGAAATCGTCCAACAAAAAGCTTAAACATGGCTCAGTAATGTTGGCTCTTGGGTTTGAGAGTAGCCATTCCGGTATCGCGTCAGAGTCGAAGAAGGCAAGCATATTCAGCAGCATCTTCCCTTCAGTAGACAACGATTGGAACGAAACATCCCAAACTGTGTTTCACGTATGTTCGTATTGTAATGGCACCGCTGATCTTGCGAAGATCTTTGCGGCTGACCTTTTGTAAACAGGCAGCAGCTCCTGGTAAGAATATCCACGTTCATTTATGAATTCGCTGAGCTGGACCATGGCAAGGGGAAACCCGTCTAGTAGCTCACACAACTCTCTCGCAGCTGCTGCATCCTCTTCACTCGCTGGCTTCAAACCAGTCAACGAGAAAAGTACCTCTGTTCCCGTCTCAGCTGCAAAACATTGGAGGTCTATCAAATCGGTGGTACGCTTCGTTGCAACCGAATGCGAGCGACAAGTGATGATCACAGACCCATTAGTGCTGGCTGGCCAAAGTTGTTCCAAAATCTTGTGATCTTCAACATTGTCGAATATCAAGAGAAAAGTTTTCCCTGATACATTCAGCCAGTCTCTCACTTTCTGGATCGATTGATATTCATCTTCTGTATCATCCGCTTTTGGGACACCAAGCTTGGATGCGAATTTTGCCAAGGCTTGCGTGAATTTGATTTGTGTCTCCGAGGGAATCCAAACAATCACATCAAATAGATCTGCTGAAGTGTTGGCGTAGTGCAGGGCAAGTTGTGTTTTCCCAACCCCGCCTGTTCCATAGATCGAGACAACTTTCATGCTCTTAGTGGTTTCGTCTGAATCGAGCACGTTCTTCAGGATGTCATTCTCGAGTGGTCTTCCAAAAAACCTGTTGTTGAGACCGTATGGTATCATATAACACGGAATATTCATTTCCTTGGGTTTAGAATCCTGGAGGAAACTCATTGCGTCGATTGTATCCGCCGAGTGAGTCTCCCTGGAAAGACGTATCATGTCGGCTGTTTCATCCACAACCCTTGAGTAGTGCCGAATGTTCTTCATCACTTTGGGAAACTCATTGCTAAATCTGGACCAGGCGCTTCGACTATGCGCTATGTTCGGGTTATTTCGAAAAAATGCAATGGAATGAGCGCAGAACAGGATTATCTCTGTGTAGGTTGCCACGAGAGCTTCTTCCAATGCCTTTGTGATTGGCAACTCTTGCTCATATTTGCGAAACCTTGGTAAAGCTCGGCCTAATTCTTCGAACATATCAAGTAATTCGGGAAGAACTGGTCGCGCAAACTGGTATAATCAGCATCCGGTATCCCCCAAGTTCGTTTGTCTCGGCGGGTTGTTCGCTTTTCTACCTTTAGAATTAGTCTTATAGACCCCCAGATAATTGCTGCGACTTGCCCCTGCATCCCCAGAGCCAATGTGATGACTGCCGCAAAATCATTGAGACTAAGAAGTATTGGTTCGAGCCTGCGCAGGGTTCCGATCCATTGGCTAGAAACACTGGAATTGGCCGGCGCAAAATCATTTATTTGTTGAATAAGGTCATCCGGACTGTGAATGCTCCCGACATCGTGATCAATAGTTGGGCCTTTGACTCCTCCTTTTCTCAACTCTTAATAATATCTATCAATGGCTGCCTGCCATATCGGACTCCTATAATTTTCTTTTGGGCTCTCTTCTCGAATGTCACCAAGAGTCATTTTGGGGTTGAGAATGTTGAAAAAAGAAAAAAGGGTTGACAGGTGAAAACAAAAGTGCGGGGTTGGTCTCGGTGCGTGCTGCGTACTTTTTCACCCTAATCATTTTCTTACAGCAGATTGTTGTGTGATATATTAATTATATGTTCTAGCGAGGTAAGTGTACTGGTTAGAAGAATTTCTGAAGTTTGATAGATTTTTAAAAAAAGAATCTGACCCATGGTCCGTATAGGGACACAGTATGGGGATTGCAAATGCACAGCTAAGTAAATGTCATAAAACGCTTATACAGGAGGCACTTTTATGTTATGCAAGGAAATCAAAAGGAGCATATTGAGACAATAATATTATTCCGTAGCAAGAAAAGCCGTTCTAGCCGGCAGGGGAGGGGTGGATTCCTAGTGACGCCTTATTAAATGTTGCTCATCACACAAATTGTCCTCACTGCATGAAGTCCATGGGTCATTAACCATGGATGTGTATGTATCGAGTACGGAGTATTATTCAACATTGTACGCCCCTCCTAAGTGTACGCTCCTCCTAAGGGTCCTATATATCTCGGGCTGATCGATCAAGTTATTTTCATTTGCAACATGACTAGTTTTGCAAAAATTATCTGGACATGGTTGACAGATTCTCTTGTACAAGATGAAACTTGAGCACCAGGGAGCATACATGTTCTAAATTCAGATCGACAAGCCACAGATACTTGATCAAGAAAGGCTCGGTCCGTTATAGGACGCTGTTTTTATATGACAACCAATAGTCTTCTCTTGTTGATCATTTGACCCACTGATCCATAGCTATAAACCTCCGTAGCGATTATGCTGATTTGCTCTATATAAGCGCCTATGCATTTGCAAGGATTCGCTGAATTCTGAAACGCTTGATGTTGTGGTCAATGCGGGCTGGAGAAGTTGGGGGCGGAAATATTCAGGGTGCTGGCTAATATCACTTCTGTTATATCCAGCAGGAGTCAAGAACTTGTTTCACACTTTCAATATTGCTATAATAGCGCCCCACTATGGTACCCACCAAATTCGGTTAGTAACCCAGCTGCTGCTTCTAATTCACGAAGGCTGTTTATTGAGTGACTTGATAGGAAAACACAAATCTCGCAAAATATCTATCAAAGCCTTTTTGGTTTTCGCTAAAGACTCGCATAATGACTTGCGTAAAATCCAACAACCCCGGGTCAAGCTACGCGGCATTGATAAGACGCATACCAGTATCGATATGAGCTGGTACGACAAATGGCTCTCCCAGCAGCTTAAAAATCTACCTCACAGCCTGGTGCAACTCCGAGTTGGGACATGCAGACTGCAAGACAAACGGAGCCTGGTTACTCTTTTCGAAGGCATTGGGGACTTTGCGCGTGGGACTGAGGGGGTCTCCATCGATGAAATCACCGCATATTTGCGAGAAACTGGAGTCTTTGATTACAGCGATGAGCTACAGGGCCCCCAGACACTTCTTGTATTTGCTGTCCTAGGTTGGCGTTCTATGTTGTATCAAGCTGCTTTCAATGTCTGCTCGATCCAAGAATTAGCTATCCATCAGGACTCCGACCAACCTCAGTCAGGCCTTGTCTTTGATAGGGATAGAATATCGGCTGAACTTTCCGACCGTCCACTGTCTGTTCTCCTGAAAGCTTTTGGGCAACTTTTGCCGGCGCGGTCCGCAAATTCTCCCTATCTCGCAAGTGAGACCGGAAGCATGGCGTCGGTCTGGCAGCCCCTGCACCCCGAAGAAACAAACGCATACCTGCTTCATGTCTTGCTTCATGTTACTATACGATGGGTCGATATACTAGCATTGCACCTTGATTATGACAAAGCCACCAGAACTTTATCGCTCTTCAGATATCCGTCATTTTGTCTTGAGATGCTTCAATCACGCGGCTTGGTCTACTCATTCTCCAGTATTGACAGCTCGCCCATCGATCCTCGTGCCAACGAAGAAGATATTTCACAATTCCTGCAAGAGGTACTTTTATCGTATCGTCTTCTTTTTGCTCAGTCGGCACCGTCAAGGAAACTTTTTCGCCAACTTTATACGATGCCAGATATGCATATCCACCGAACCGACTCCCTGCTTTTTCATATATGCACACAGAAGCGGATTGGTCAAACCTTAACAATACTCCCGACTGACAGGCCACTTTATTTCGCTGCTCGAGACTTTCCCGTGCTGTATGACCGGATTGAGCTTATAGCAAAGGATCTGAGAGATGCAAGGCCAAGCTCAATCATCGGTCTCATAAGGGATAGGCGTAACGTTCTGCAGTATTGGACATTTTGGCTGGTAGCTATCTTTGGCGGCATCAGCATTGTTCTAAGCTTGATTCAAGTCATTTTACAGGCATTATCAATGATGCAGGTCTGAGTTTGGAGATGCATCAAAAATTGTGTCATTTGTCGTGTTATTGATGTACGTATAAGCGATTTGATAATTAATACTTGTTTTCACAAGTCGTTACACAACATGTAAAAACGGCTGTTGTACTGTGGATGTTAGGGCATTGGTGCCTCAGGCATATACTTTGCCTGGACATGGGATCCTTCCTCCTATGTCCCCTCGGTTATGACTGAACAAATTCTCAACCTTGCCTTTCAGAGATAAGACCATGTAATACATCAAATTAGGTAGGTCATGTGATCCAAACTTGTATCACCCCGCTCTTAGCGAATAATGTCCAAGGCTCTTCTATTCCATCCTTTCCTTGAACTTTTATATCATTTCATTGGTTCTACCTACTCTACTCTACTCAACACTATATTATTCAGACAAAGCATTCAGCATGTCGATTACCCACATTGTTCTTTTCCAGTTCAAAGCAGACCTGGCTGCTGAAGTCATCCAAGATGTAAGTATAATCACAAGATCACGACCCGTCATATGTATGAACGTGATTATGAGCGTTAAGCTATTTTCAATAAAATAAATACTAAAAATTATCTCAAAAGGTCTGTGGGCGTATGCTGGCACTAAAAGACAATTGTGTCCACCCCACCTCTCAAGAGCCCTATATCAAATCCGCGTCTGGCGGGAAGGATAACTCCCCCGAAGGAATCCAGGTAAGTTCCCCTGGGATCCCAGAGGACGGAAGACTTTCAGGATATTTTACTAATGCATGATAGAATGGAATTACACATGCGTTTGTCATGGAGTTTACAAGCGCTGCAGATCGAGACTACTATATACAAAGCGATCCAATTCATCTGGGATTCGTCAAGACTCTTGATGGCCTCATTGAGAAAGCGCAAGTCATTGACTTCAGCGATAGGGTTCTTTGAAATTCTGAGTCAATGCTCTAACTGTCAGCATATTTGCTACTTTGATAAGATATAGAGTCTTGACCTTTGTAGATACTAAAAAGGAATGGACCTCAGATTATGTTCATTCGTCATATATATATATATTCGCCAAGTTTTTCATAGAGCGCACGCTATTTCTAGTCGCAGTATATATATAAATAGCTGCAGCTTTCTAAAATGACCATACATCCTGCACCAATCCAAAGTGTGGTGTTTGTGCAGATATACATTTTAGGATTATGAATCTACTCATTGGCCTCTCACTTTCCCACGATACAGATACGTTTAGAGCGTCGATGTGTCAGTCCTCAGAGTGTCACGCCCTTTGTATACAAGTATCCAACAGGAATGGATACTCAGTGCACGGAAATACATTCCCGGGCAAAGTAGCAATGCTCCAATTTGCCAGTGGGTTTGATAGCTAGGAATGTAAGCCAAGCTTCGGGCTCGGGAACCACTCTATCAGCTGATACACCAATAGTATATAGTATTTATTGACCGGAAACCACCGATTTAGAAGAACGTTGCATTGCCGGCTTCAATGCATACCACTCCCGAGCTTGGTACTCTTTCATGGGTTTAACCTTTCCTAGAATATTACTCCGTATACTTTGAATACTTGGACTATAATAGGATTCAATAAACAGTTAAATTGAGTTCTCGTAAATATACACACATTTAGACTATTCATAGTTTCACTCGGAGCTAACTCAAGGTTCGAAGTTTCTCTATCCCTGCGGTTCCCATTTAAGTTAGGGCTCGACTCCGTTTGCCTAGATGAGACACCCACCAACAATTATACCTGACATGGAGAGTTTATTGTAACAAAAAGCTAAAATTAGCCCTTCTTATATCCTCTCTCTTAAGTTGACGATACTAGAATGCGTACTGCGTAAAACTTGTCCCAAGCTAAATTAAAGGTACCTTTGTGAGCTGTTATTTGACTTAGCATTGCTCCGATGCAAGGGGGACGCGAAATAATAAGCGCCAACCATTCCCGAGCCTCGCAGCCATCCGCAAGGTTTTGTTTCGATTGAATTCATGGCATTTCTGGAATCTTTTAGCGGAGTATTATAGTGAAACAAAGGAAATGCGAAACAAAGGAAACCGAGTCGAGGAACCTGCTTCATTTCGGAATTGCCAATGTGGCTGAAATCACATATGGGAAAGAACTTATAATTGCCTTAATTATTGTCTCTGGGGCTGTGTATACTATTGACCTCCAAGATCAGGTCAAATACACTAGGGTCGGAGCCATTACTCTGGATCTTAGCACATATCTGACCCTGAATAATGAGGTAATCTATGGGATCATCCCTGTCAGTGATGAATTCATGATCGATCGACACGGCTACTCCGTACAGGATTAGTGATCGGCGATGAATCCTTGGAAGAAATGTCTAAAATCGCTTGCCGAGAACCGGATCTCATAAGAACAGCTTCCGAGACAAAGACAAAGGAAACGAGGCAAAGAGACATTCCAATTAAGCTAGTGAGTTTGCATGAAATGGAAGAAAAATCGATTCCCCCCCGGAGCTAGGGACAAGGAATCCCGTTTCCCGCGAGCTTCCAAGACCTTCACAGGGTTCATTCATGCACATATCCGACCCGTCAAACGGGGACTTAGGGGATCGACAGCTGGTTATTATTGAAATATCCTGTACTGGGGAAAACGGGATACAAAACTTTAAAGCGAGATGAGTCTTTAATCCAAAAGTGGCAAAGGGGACACGAAGAATGAGAGGGATATGTTTCGCCAGAACACGAGGCTCTCTTTGCTTCTTCTCCCTTTTATCCCTTTGGTCTGGGCTGCTTTCCACTCGATCCACTAAGGGTCGAATACCTAATCTGCACGGGTCTTTAACTCCAGCATATCTTCCCTGCAGCCTGCAGGTCATGGCTGCCTGTAATGCCCATCTGCTGTATTGCACCCGATGAGTTGCAGCAGATCGTGGGTATATTGCCTGCATAAAGAGAGATACCCGTAGAAACGATCGCCTCGGGGTGATAAACACTTAAATTCCCAGTAATAGCCGGAATAGGTCAAAGGGACTCCAAGCATTTGGGACTCTTTACCCAAAGCCAATCCCATGCGATCCAGGCCCCCAGGGAGGACCCACTGCTGCCGCCAGGGGAGTAAACTGCCGAATTGGTGTCCTGCCGAGCCTGTCATCCTGTCCATGCCACAGGTACGGCTGTCGCCTAGCCGGGGTGAGACTGTGGATCGCTTTGTCCTTGACACGCCGGGAATAGCATAGATGTGCATACTGCTGCCAGTAACTTTGCTAATATATGTACTCTCGCCCGGCCTGTCTTTTGACTCATTCTCTAAACACGCCCTTAATGGTGTAGAGCAGCTGCAACCTTTTTCTTCTTTCCTTTTGCTTTTGGGTGTTGTCATCCCCAGTCTCTCGTTTCCACTTGTCATTCGTTGTATAGTTTTGTTTCACCAAGCGTTGCCTTTATTCTTTTCATTTCCTTGTTCGCATTGCATTCAAGGACATCCTAGCTGGAATCGCCATTGCTCCAAGCTCCCCAACTGCCTAGCTCTTTATAAAGCTCCTTATCCGCCCATCGGATCAATCGAAACACCATCAATCCACCATGGAATGCTTTCGGCAAGTTTTCCGGTGCCTGAAGGCACCTTTCAGACGTGAAAAGGGAAGGATTATAGAAATTGTAAGTCGAGCAGAAAACCAGGAAATAGGCTGTCGTGGCAAAGACGGTCGCTAACAAATGTATGAAACAGGGTCCTCCCACCAACTTCCGAAAAGAAGAATTGCCTGCTTATTTCTCTGATGCCGAGTCAGTTCTCTCGCCCAGCCAAAATCCGACAGAACCATCAGATCTGACCAGTCAATCACAGCACGCTTACGTCCCAGGACAGCCGCACAGCGACCGTGGAGAAGGACGGAACGATGATCGAAATGGTGCCTCTACCATCATCAACGAAGAGCAAGATGCGGGCCCAGGTTCGAAGGATGAGCGTGAAACTGTCATCCGGCTCCGAGAGCGTATGAAGTTATCCCGATGGTGGAAATCGAGGCCAGCTGCCGGTCATGAAACTAAGGCCCCGGCCGAATCGGTAAAGATGAAAGAAATCCGAAGCGCTGAATTGGCGTGTTCATAGGGAAATATTGTATTGGTATATGCATGGTCACAGAAAGAAGGTGGGCACTTCATTGTGCCGGGGTTTTTTTGGATCTAAATTGTTCTCTCCGCCCGTTACAGGCGGTTGTCTTGCAGGAGGTCCCCGGGAATTGTTAGAAATAGACTCATTCATCCGAGATGACTCTGGTAGTTCATCAAGGTCATCAAAAAGCGACTGAACCCGTGATTTATACGCGTTCGCTGGACTGGGTCGCCCATGTGCTGGCTTCACTTTCGATTTTGACGTAGACGTGCTTTGTATGTTAGATCGCTGCCGGGCTTGTGGTGTTGCAACACTTCGATCGTGAGCCTGACTTTTTCGTAGAGTGTCATTTGTTCCTCTGGCCGGTGGCAGCACGACTGGCTGGGTTTCTAGGTCAAGATCGTCATCCGAGCCCGAGGCCGTCTCTTCATCTAATTCAATGCTTGGAGCTTCTGGTGCTCTTGATGGTGCAGTCACACTCCCGATACTGTTCACCCGAGCTCGTCCAGTATCTAAAGTAGGCGCATGTAAGCCCGCAGCAGCTCTGGTCGAGGACTTGGGCCCGCGAACCCCCGTCAAGGATCGTGTTTTTCGTGGACTTGTCATGAGATCATGAAGATGTGTTCCAGCCCATCTCTCATCCTCCTCATCTTCATCTTTCTCGTCGACTCCTCCGTCTCCTATCTGCGCGAGTCCAGCTTTTTGTCGCTCCCTCAGCGCCTCGGCTTCTCTTTTCCGTTCAACTGCATTTGGAACTGGGGTACGGCTGTCTGTAGGCCTTCCAATTTCTCTCATTCCAGCTGCATTTTCGGCTTTCACTTCCTTTCTCCGTCGCAGGTACTCCGCATGATGTAGATGTTGAGTAAATGTTTGGGCGACAGCGTAGAACTCGTCTTCGACCATGACCCAGCCATCATCGTGTTGAATTCCTTCAATCAAAAACCTATAATGTGCCTATTAGCGACCTTTTCCGGTTGCGCGGGGCCCGGTTGCGATCATACTCTTCAGAGGGACAGCGTCTGATGGGAGAGGTCGGCGGGCTTTGGGCTGTATAAATTGATCAGACTTTATATTTGGCCACAACTATTCCAAAAAAATGAAACCTACAGGATCTGAAGAAATCACGCGTGGGGGGTGAAACTCGAGGGTTTTTGGGAGTGAGGTCGCGATCAGGACTAGTTTCCGTTTTCACGCGCTTCCGCGGTGTTGACTCTTTTTTCACAGGGATGCTATTATCAGCACGAAGCCAGGGCAGTATCCTGGGCATAATTCAAGATAATATAGAGGAAATCAGTACGTCGCTTGGTGTCACAATCTCAGGTAAAGATTATAATGAGGGAAAGAGAGCTGCTGATAGGCATTCACCGATAAGGTGAGGTCACCCGCATTCCGCGCAACACAAACTTTCAATCTGGGACTACGGAGTGGAAAATTTGAGAGTATCAACCTCATTCTTTGGGGTATCTAATGCCATTTTGGGCATTGGTAATGCAAGATGAAAAGAACTTGGACCGCCTCAAACGCCTCGTGCAGGATATATTACCGAAAGCAAGAACGGACTGCCGGTAGAACGCCCATTCAACCATTCGAGGGAAACAAAAAAAACGCCAGTATCTCTGCCCATGCAAGAGTCGGCTTACGCCTCGCCGGGCCGCTTGCTATTGCAGCTCACGATCTTCACCTTGTCCGCGGACACAGTGGTCTGGTTGTCCAGCTTGAATGAGACATCCTTGATCAGGAAGGTCCAGACTTCGTCGCAGAATCGGTAGGTATCGAGGTGGCCCTAAAAGCGGTGAGAAAATGTACATGTCAGTCTCGTTGAACTATAATCGAACTACGGCCCATTTGGTATTCTCTGAACCGGAATGAGTTACCTTGAAGGTCAGTCTGGCCCGAACCTTGTCGGCCAAGACTTCAGTGACAATCTTGTCAAAGGTCCCGAGGATCTTCATCGCAAGCTGAGGCTCGATACGGCCTTCGTTGATCAGGTCATCGAGAGTATCGGTGAGGGATAGCCCGAGGCTGAAGGTTCCTTGAGTCAGTTTTGGAGCTTTCGGTTTGCTTCATCTCATCGGGTATATATACCTGCTGCCACGATAGAGCTCATAGTAAGCTACAGATGCCATTCTGAGATGAAATAATGGCAGACTCGTCGAAAGAGTATCGGAGGAGTGAGTGACAAGAGCAAGTTCATGATCGCCGGCCGAATCGCGGGGGCGGTCGGCTGCACGTGATCATCCTATAGTCACGTGTAAGTTCTTATCTCAAATTGCGTCAGTGTCAGATGAATTGGATATGTTTGTACACGTTCTTTGACCTCATATATTTCTCAGTGAGCATACCACAAGCTCGATAAATACTGCAGTATGATTTTGAAGGGATTAGGACCTCGGTCTCTTCCAAATAGAACATTGTCCAGTCAATTGCATGTTACTTGTGGCCGATCCTTAGCAACAACTTTGTTCAGACCATCAAAAGCTCAAGGTCAGCCAGTTCCTTTCAAAAGCCCATGTCAGAACTAACATATATTAATATGGAACTATAGACTCCCAAGGTTGCCAAAATTCCGAATCCAAGCAAGAGGAAATCAACCAGACATCTAAGAACCCCTCGAACCAAGACAACAAGCGCCATGCACTTCAACCGAAGGCCAAAACCGTCTCCCAAGCCGATGCCGAGCTTCGCGAGCGGCTCGAACAAATGTCTGGAGAAGGAGGAGCCTCTGGAATTGAATACGAAGACGGCAAAGCGAATGCAATGAAGCGCGGCGTGCGAAACAACATGTTCCGATTGATTTGAAACAATCCTCGACATCCAATTATCACAAGAACAAACCCTGATCATCGCAAATGTCGCGAATGTATATCCTAGTGAGGTCTCATGACCTGCAACACAGGCTTGGCTCCAGATGCCAAGACACGTGGGGAAAGAATGCTCTCGGTCGTCGTTCTCCTCCGGCCCCGGGGGCCCCGGGTATTACAGGCATCCATCTGGACCGGACTTCTTGAACTTTGTTTCCGAAGACATAGATGAGGATGCCTAGGCTTGGCTTCGGTTGAGTTTACCTAATTAGTGTGCTTAGGTGCATGGTTTCTTTGAAACGGATAAACGGTTATGCATAACGAATGCATTCCGCTCTTCGGATGTTCCTGCATTCTCCGATTACGATTCATTGGGCGGAGCCGCGCAATCCACCACGACGCTCTCGCTGTGAACTTCTTGGCTTTCGATACTCGGAAGGGCATGTGTCATTGGAAAGCTTTCATTTCGTGGTTAGGGGCGACTTGGTTGAAATGCGCAGGATCCTGGGACAGAGCGAGTGCCTCATATTCCAGGTTTTAATTCCGCGCTCTGATTGGCGGGGAAGTCTCGCCCAGAGAGTTGAATATCGACAAGAAAAATGAGAGACCATAAACATAGCAAGCCATATAATGGGGGTAATAAATAGATTGGTCCAAATCCAACGAATGCGTAGATAAACGAAATTACCACCGTCCAAAATAGGACCAGTGGCAGAAATCAAATCTCATTTCTATGTCGTGAGCCCCAAGTCGAATTAAAAAAAAATAAACAGATATTATCCCATTAACACCTAATTTCGAACCATTTTCGCATTGCTGAATTCCACCCAAAGAAGGCAAAACAAAGGAGAAACAAATGCTTGCTAACGCTTCAAAGAAAATCTCATTTCCGCACAACCATGCCAGCCAAAACACCAGCCCCAATGACACCACCGTCGGAGGCTTCCCGTAAGAAAACGGACTTCCCACCTCGTTGCGGACCAGTCCGCATGATAAGACGATCAATGTATTGCTGGCACATCTCCTTGAATTGCGGGTAATGTTGGATAATACCACCAGTGTAAGCCACGACGAGCTCTTCCGGACCGGACTGCCAATCTATTGGCGTAGGATCGATGACAGGTACAACATGTTCCTGAGCTGCGTGGTTGGCAACAACAGCGGCAGAGTTGAGGCTTGCAGCCGCAGCATCCGGTGTACCAAAGAACTCAGTGATGGCGTCGCCGTTGCTCTGGGGTGAGGCGGGATTCTCGGGTGAGCTGCTGTTGCTGTCTTCCTTCAGCTCGATCTCGCGAGCACAGGATAGGAGCCCGACCACCGCAGCGGCGATCAGCCCAGCTGACCGTCTCTGTACTGTGCGAGCGATCTTTCGGAATGCACCTGCGGTCCGGGCATCCCAGTGCCAGTCACTGCTCTCTGGCGGAGGGAGGGATTTGTTCAAGTCTTTGGCGAGGTCGTTGTCAGATCGCGCTTTGGCGACATGGTCGGAGATGTATGTGGTTGTCAGAGCGTATTCTTGGATGAGATTTGCAGGTAGGGAGCGTTTCGACAACTTGGCGACGGTCGTGAGATAGTCGAATAGGATCAAGCGAATCAGTTCACCAATGTAGCGGCCTCCGGTCATGTATTCGAAGGGCTGGAAGCCTGGGCGTGCACAGGCCCGATCTAGCTCAATATCCCATTTTGTGGTTACGTGGAGCTCCTTGAGTGGTGGCGCAGCGCCGGAAATAGTCCACTCGGTGTTGACAATAGTCTCTACAGCGCCGGGTTCCATTATGTTCACACTCTTTGCTTTAGATTCGTGCAATTCAGTGAGCTTCATTGGGATGGTCGCGTTACAACCAGTGCCCACAATAATACCCATGGCCACTCTACTGTTTGGTAGAGATTTGACCTTGTATGCAAGGGAAGCTAGCGTGGCCACCGTGTCGTTGGTGATAGCTTGGATTTTCAGTTTTGGTAATGCGAAAAGCTTTCGACGTTTGGTAGAGGGTTCATCTTCATCATCAGGTCGCCTTGTGTGTTTGTCATACCCATTCAGAAGGATCTGGCCAAGATTGAGATCTGATGAAATAGCGAAGCCTTTCCCCATGGGCATTAATGTAGCTTCTGCCAATGACTCTTGCCTGGACTTAGTTAGCACAAAACTAAACAGGAGGCCCCGGAATCTGGAACACCAGAAAAACAAGCACAATAGGAATATAACTCACATGATGGGGAAACTGAATGTAATTCCCATATCTAATTCGGCCGGAATATCCTTCTTAGTGGCATCCGATGATAGACTCTCCGCTATCACCTCTGCAATGCAATCACCGATCCAAGAAAATAGATCCTCGGCCTTGTCCTTCTTAAAATGTTCTTGAATAGGCCAGGCTCGTTCCAGCGTTCGTTTCACTCGCTGGCGCTGAGCTTTCCGGATGGTGTCCTGTGACCTCTCCGTGGCATCTGTAGGTCGAACATCGGAATCCACGGCTTCTCCAAGCAACTCAATAAAAGCGACTCGAAGGTTGCTACCTCCTACATCGATCGCTAGATAGCGACCAGTTTCCCGACCAGTAGGAAGTTGAGTCACGGGTGTTGGCAGAAACTGCTGGTCCGATGTCAAGGCAAGGTTGCGGTATGTGGTGGAAAAGCGCCGGGCTAGTTTGTATAGCACAGCCTCATCCAGGGACAGCGGTGACAAGAACTCTTCCAATTGTTGATGGTGTGCCAGAAATTCTTGTTGAATGGCGTTTAATTCCAAACTGACATCCTCATGTTCCTCATCTTCAATCAAATCGTCGTGTATGATGTCGCGCTCGCCCTTGGATGAGCTGACCAAGGCCATGATAATAGATGGAAGATATATTCCAAATTAAGAATAAAAAGAAACCTCAACGGCCGTTTGAAGATACACAAAACGACCTGACACGCTATGTTCAATAACGTGTAGGGTCTGGAATGTTTAGGAATAGAGATAGGGCATATCCTTAAAATCCTTTGAATTGTGGAGCAAAGCTAGGAAGCTAATCCAATGCCCCAAGAGCTAGTCTTGACACTTGTGTTAGCGAGGTTGCAATAAAGGGAAAAGGGAACATTTTGGTGACGCGGTCTGCAGGTCGACCCGGGCTGCGGGGGAAAAAAAGAGAAAACACGACGATCATGCCAGAAGGGGGTGTCCAAATCCCCATATGTGTTTTACCTACCCTGGAATTTTAGTATGCACTGATTGTCTTGATTGTCCTGATCACCTCGAAAATAAATATTTTTGAGTGATTCGGGGAAGATGACAAACTATATACGGAGGGGGGTTCTTTGGGTTAGGGAAATATCCCTAGATGCCCTGAGGGAGTTGGTGAAGAATGGAAGTATAAAGCTCCCTACTTAAGACAGGATATAAGAGAAAAAGTAGAGAAAACAGAAAGAAATAGCTTTGAAAAGAAGAGAATTTGTTTCAAGGTACCTTTTGTGTTTTGGTAGTAAGTATAGTCGGAACGAAACAATCGGAACGAATAGTTGGCAATCAGAAGTAGGGGAAAACTATTATCAGATCCATAGATGTGATAGATATAAAGTGTTAAATTATATGAAAGTTATAAGAAAGAGAAGTAAATATATAAGAGATGAGATGCGACCATCGGAAGGCACGAGGCGATGCGACGCTGTTCGGGGACAAGTTGAGCATCCCGGGAGTTGACTTTCTATTGGAGAAAACTCTACTTGGGGATTTAATCTCCCCTCTTTAACATCCTTCTAAAATCAATCGAAGTCTATGTAACCCTACTTTAAAGTATATCCGGCTAAAGCCCTTCCCTACTAAAGTAAGTAGCGATTATCCAGCCAAGCCAATTTCTCCATTCTGGGCAGTCTCAGGATTAGACGAGAGGCGTTTGAAAGCGCTTCCCGTTGGAGAAACTGATATATGGTACCTCTTTACGACAAGGAACATTGGTGGGGTCAAAGGTTTCCGGCTTGGGAAACACGCGCCAAAGTAACGCCAAAGTATCGTGTTCCAATATTGTTATTCGTTCGATACGAACCTCGCCTAACTTCGATATAACTACTCGTGGCACTCGCGTGGTGATCGGGCCGGACATACCCGTATTCAGATGCAGGCGCATCTCGCAACGCTTTGATTCAACGGGGATGAAACCCGTTCGCATGGTCTCGATTCGCTGGCACCCGCCACATCAGGCTGTCAGATCTTACGGGAGTCGGTTGAAACTACCCTTAAGGACCTTGAGTTTGCCTTGTGATTGGTCATTTACCTATCGGCAAATAGTCCGGTTCTCGTGTTTGGCATAATTCTACGGAGTTACGGAGTATAGAATTCATTAATGAGGGTCTGTACGAGCCTCAGAGCACGCGATCGTAAGCCATTATGCACGGCCTGTCCATAGACCATACCTAACAAATCCCGGTGTTTCTGGCCTTGGGCCATTTGAACTAAGCTAGTGCCCCATACAAATCGCCTCCGAAGTCGGAGCGTAGCCTAATCTGACGAATACACGGACACAATCGTATGGCTTTGACCAACATACGTAATGTAGGAGATTAATGGGCACACATTTAAGCATTTAAGAGGGGAGGAGGTATATTTCAACCAAAACAACATAAAATGTTAATAATCGCAGGGCTGCATCTCCAGGGCTTTATTTTAGTTAAAGAGGCGATGAGGAAGATCTTATGTAATGGCCTTGGCAGCCAGGGCTGAGGTGGAGGGAACTCCCGACTCTCCACATGATCTTATCAAAACAACGTCACTTCTGATTTTACCCCATCATGGACAAACTACCGTTCCACTCCAATAAATATGGGGACACCCTTGAATCGACAAACCGTGACCGTCGTCCTAGCACAAATACTTATTTGTGTCGGATCGGTGTCATCGCGTTGCTCTTCATCGGCTACCTTGTGCTTCTAAGGCCATCTTCCTCATGTACCGGCATAGCGCACCAGACGGAGAGCTATAAAGCCGCGGTTCAAGAAGAGTATGACAACTACTTACAGCTGGAACGCTTTGCTTCTGAAGCACAGGAGACGCTTGAGCAAACTAAGATACCGCTGGAGGCTCACATCATGAGCAAATGCCCAGATGCCCAGGACTGCTTACAAAAACTTGTTCTACCTGCCATGGAAAAAATAAGTGACAAGGTGGACTTCAAACTATCATTTATTGCTAGGTAAGCATTAAATCAGATACCGAGAGGAACTGATATTACCAGACTCCATCCTAAACATTTGACTAATACTATAACAACAGCGTGTCTAAAAATTCTGAAGAGATAGAGTGCATGCATGGTCCAGGTGAATGCATCGGCAACATGCTCATGCTCTGTGCGGCCAACCTTCCTTTCCCTCCAACTGCGGACGAAGCATCTCTTCCATCTCAATATCCACGGACCCCTATTATCCGGTCGCTAGGGTTCGCAAATTGTCTGATCAATGACTATGCACGGATACCAGACCGCGAATTTGTCCACCAGTGTGCGTTGGAGCATGGGATTGACTTTGACTCCTTAAACAAGTGTGCAAGCCAACAGAATGATGACCCGAACGATGGCAAGGATGGCGGACCACCACTTAGTGGCCTTGCGCTGCTTCGCGAAAGCGCTACACACGGCGAACAACTTGGCGTCAAGACTAGTTGCACAGTACGTCTCGACGATGCTGTGTGGTGCATCCGCGATAGCAACGAATGGAAGAACTGTGCCCAGAATGGAGAAGGCAGCCAACCCTCAGCCCTGGTCGACCAAGTCGAAAAGCTCTGGAAGGAGAGACAATCGTTCCTTAATTTCCCATATGATAGGATTAACTCATAGGATTAACTCAGTGTAACTCATGCTTTCTTACTACATACTTAGGTACGCTTCCAGGGTTAATATCTGCTCAACCCCTCAGAGGGCATTTCTACCTACTACCTAGCTTAGGCTCTAAGTAAACGCTTCAAAGTTGGGAGCACAAAGCTATGCTGTGTCCGACACGTGACTTCCCCCGGCACCAATGATGATATTATTTCGTAATTTTCACCACTGAACTACCTAGGTAAATATAGTTAAGGTGACTTAACTATATACCTAGGTATTGCATGGTCTCTTGCGTCAAACTTACTATCCAACTTGGTATCATCAGCATTATGTTCTACGAAGAGGTTCTTCCTTCTACAATCCCAAAATATGAGTTTAAAGGAATCCATCATTGTCTCCAAGTTCTGGAGCAGAAACAAGAGCGATATGAAGAAAATATGGATTCATTTAACCCTTATATTATTTTTACTATTGACGAGCATTCTTTCCTTGATTGTTTTGTGAGTGCCGAAGAAAACCTACTCAGATACTCATGGGAGACTTACGATCATTCTGCCAACCACCTTATTATCAAGATGGAGTCAAAAGTTCAGTCGGTAGCAACCACAGCATTTGCTAAAATATTCGATGCCTGGACTGGCAACGATGATGTCGATTACCCGCTTCTTTCCACATCCCCAGCCTTAGTAAGAGACGATACTGGGAGTGCGAAAAAGGCAGACCTTTCCTGGACCCCTTCATCCTTGCCCATTGGGCGAAAAACAAAATGGCCTACCTTCGCGGTAGAGATGGCTTGGTCGGAACGCCGCCACAAGATAGAGACAGATATGGTATTTTGGCTATGTCAAAGCAATGGAGATGTGAAAGCCGCTATGTCAACCACAGTACACAGTCGTGGCAGAATCTCATTTGAAATATGGGATCTCAGACGTGCTCCTCAGGGTGTAAATCCATTCCCCTTTCCGTCGCAGAGAATGGAAATTGTCAGAAATCCTGCGCCCAATCGTCCAAAGATCGATGGACGCATCGAAATACCGTATGAAGATATCTATCTTCAACAGAAGGGAGCCAATGATACGAACTTCATTCTCACAGATGAGGACGTCACAAAAATTGCCAAAAAAATATGGATTGTCCAATTCGGTCTAGAGGAGCATCGTGGTTCTAGCTCTCGCTAATATCCAGGAAAGGCAAACATCCAGTTGCCTGCCTACCTGTTCCATTGCCATTGTTATTTGATCAGATCTGAGACTTTCTTTCTTCTCTTTCCTCTTTCTCCTTCCTCCCTTCTCGCCATCTTCATTAACACCGCGCGGTTATCGTTGTTGCCGCGTGTAAATTCGCAATGCCGCCACCATCTCATCAAAAACAGCGTGGTAGGCTGCTTCTTTGACCCCACCTATATTCGACTCCCACATCGCCATCTTACTAACAATGTGAAATGACTTCTCTAGATATCAAGCGTGTCGTGTCGCGCGGGCTGAATGGTAAGGAGGACAGTTTGTACCTCAAGTGGAGTGTGGTGATGAATCCAAGCGAGCTCCTACAAGAGCTTGTTGGCAACCGTGAGCATGCTCGAGCTCTCTTTCATGGATTGAGGCGCCAGGTCAAATCAATCCGCCACCGCTCGCAGTCCTACGATGATGGTCAGGTCACGATCTACGACCGCGTTCTCCTTCGTCTCTATGATGAGGGACACACCATGCAACACTACGGTCTGTTTGAATTCTACCTGGCTGAGTATCTGGAAATCAAGAATTGTCGCTCAGAGGATGAGAGCAATGCTGTCATTGCTGCCCATTTTGCTGCCCAGCGCATTCTGGATAATGGTCCGTCGCTACGCCTTGATGAAATCTACTTTTATGTATTCTAACATCAGCTACTAGGCCCTATCCCCGAAATACTGACCATTGGAGCCGATTCTGTAGAAGATGCCACCGAAGATACCAAGACTAGCAAGTCACCACAGAGCTCTGGCGCATCCAAGTCACACCATATCGACCAGCTCATCCGAGTGTACCAGAAGGCCAAGGCTGACTACTACATCCTTGAAGTCACCGAGAGCCACCGCGAGCGAACCAACAGCGTCAGATTCCTCCGTGACACCGCCGAGAACCTCCTACGATATCTGAAGTCAGTCGACAAAGACAACGATCTGATTCCCGAAATCGAGGACATCATCCAGGTCAGCCAGGCACATGCAAACCAGCTTGCCGGCGGTCGCAAGCGCAAGTTCGAGCACACAGATAGTGAATCAAGGGGCAGCCCAAGCCTCAGCCCCTACCGACCTTATGGATATTACGGGGACCACCGCGCAGGATACAACAATTGGGACCGATATGTTCCGGAAAGTGACACATGGGATCATAGCCACAAGGGTGCTTGGGACCATAGCCACGTCAGCAGAAGAATTGGATGGGATAGCCGTACCTTTGACTCCTACCGTCCTTCTTAGGCTCACTGCGGGATCTGAGCTCCTGGTCGAAGGATACGTTCTGAATTATGAGGTCATCCCTTTATTCGCTACTGCTTGGGAGAATTACAAACAGTCATGTACTAGAGCAGCTAGTATCGTTGAAATATCAGCTCAAATCTACAAACAAACATCCTCCTACTTGTAAAAGAGGTGGTTGAAGTATAAAAACCCAAACCATGGTCGTTGATAGAGCCAAGCTCCACGCTAAGCTACTCTCAGATTAGCGCCAATTATAAACCCACGTGCACTGATGACATAATCCGCTCAGAAGCCCGGGCCTGGAGATCCATGCCCAGGTGATCAACATCGGTCACCCGGTCTCGCGAATCGAGGGGAATCTTGTTATTTTTCTTTCATTTTGATCTCAGAGAAGAGGTACTCTCTGCCCTAATGGAGATAATACCTCACCCACCAGGCTCCTAGAACGATTCCAAACCGTGTTTCTCCCGAGAAATGGCAGACCTTCATCCCTCCGCCGCGGGGAATAATGCATCTTCCACCAACTCCAGCACATCCTCAAACCCACAATTCACTCCAGTCTCGTATGGCTCAGATGAAGACCATCCAGTGCCAGGGCTCACAAAATCCCCCATAGGTCCATTGCGACTGGAGACCAACTTCGATGACCATTTAGACGTTGGCGACCCTCTATCCGATTTCGAGAACGACGGCGACTACAACAATAGAGAGGAGTTTGAGGGTAAACTGCCCCGCAGTGGTTTGGGCCCGAGATACACAATAGAGGAGGAGAGCGAGGTAGTGAGGAGATTCGATCGACGGCTGGTCCCGTTTCTGGCTCTTCTCTATTTGCTCTCCTTCCTAGACCGCTCAAGTATGTTTGGTTGGTTCGCACAGCGGAATTTTTCCCCTGTGATTGCAAGTATGTACTGATCATTTACCCAGACATTGGAAATGCAAAGATAGCAGGACTACAAGACGATCTACAACTTTCATCTTCACAATATGAATGGCTACTTACCGCTTTTTACATTACTTACATTCTCTTTGAATGGATGACACTGATGTACCGTGTTGTTCCCCCGCATGTTTATATATCTCTATGTGTATGTGGATGGGGACTTGTCGCATCATTCCAGTGTCTGGCTACTTCTTTTGAGGGGCTGGTTGTCCTCCGGGCGTTACTCGGAATTACTGAGGCGGCTTTTGGACCGGGTGTTCCGTTTTATCTGTCTTTGTTCTATCGCAGACATGAGCTGGCTTTCCGTAATGGGCTGTTTATCTCAGCGGCACCGCTCGCGACCTCTTTTGCTAGCAGTCTGGCCTACTTGATTGTCAGGTTCAGCAGTGACGGTCCGATCTCACCGTGGCGAACTCTGTTCCTCGTGGAGGGGTTCCCGAGTGTAATTGTTGCAGTGTTTGCATGGTTTTTGATACCGGATTCCCCTGGTCGGGCTCGATTCCTGAGTCGCCGACAAAGGGTGGTAGCCCAGCAGCGTCTCGAAGAGAGCACAGCCGATTATCAGCAATCATATGGAAGCCGATTTAACTGGCGGGAAATCTTGAAGACTGCAGCGGATCCCAAGGCTTACATGGCTGCCGTGAGTTCTTATCTCTCTTGTGAATTGTGCAAAGCAGTTCTAACACATTTATTACAGGTTATGTTCTTCAGCTGTAACGTTGCTTTCAGCTCAATGCCTGTCTTTTTGCCCACTATCATTAAAGAGTATGTCTTGCACCGACGTCCAATCATAATCTCGACAGCAAACTGACGTCCCTTACAGCATGGGATATTCCTCCTTACAAGCCCAAGCCCTCTCAGCACCTCCCTATCTCGTCGCCTTTGTCGTAGTCCTCCTCACCGCGTACGCGTCAGACCGCAGCCGCTCCCGAAGCCCATACCTAATAGCGCACGCCCTCATCTCATCACTCGCTTACCTGGCGATCGCAGCAACGGGTTATTTCCACTCACACCTGCCACAATGGCTTCACATATCCATACGCTACATATGTGTCTACCCCGCCACGGCTGGATTCTTCTCTGCAATCACCCTTATCATCACATGGTCAATGGATAACCGCGTCGAAAAGGAAGGCAAGGGCGCGAGCATTGCCATTCTCAATATCATCGGACAGTGTGGGCCCCTACTCGGGACGAGACTGTACCCTGAGACTGACGGGCCGTGGTATATTCGGGGCATGGCTACTTGCTCGTTTTTCATGGTTGTTGTTGCGATCTTGGCCGTGGGGCTGCGGATTCTTCTACAGAGGATGAATCGGGCGGCTGCCGAAACGACCTATACTATTGTACAGGCTGGTCCTGTTGATCAGGGTGAAGAGCGAGATGTGCTTATGGGTGGCGGGAGAAGGGATGATCTAGAGCATTCTACTGGGGATAGAAGGCTTGTGTATATCATATAGTTGATACAATAATGACCGCTCAAGCTTCCTCTGTTTCGGTGAGGTTAAATCTACTGATGTTCTATCATAACCCCCTTTCAACTTATGTGCGCAGCGCCTGGCTTATTATGTTCCTGTGTATGTACGCCAGACTGGGGAGGAAGGTTATGTTTCCCCCTCACTTTGCTGCCCTGGGGGCATTGGCCTCACATCCCTTAGAAGAGAGATCCTTGGCCTCATTCATCTTTGGGCGCTGTATCGCTATCCACGAGATTTGTTCCGTTATGTTTCTATGCCGCTCGCTTTTGCCGTTGCCGATCCCGTTTCCTTTTGTCCTGCAGCAGTACAACAGGATGCCATTGTAGTCGTCTTATAAAAAGGCATTTGATCAAAGAATTTCTTCGCTGGTACTCTCATTCCGCGCAAGGGAAAAAAAACAAAAATGGTGCCATGCTGGAATATCCAACCTACCGAGACTCCGTGTAAGTCGTGTAAGCGTATACGCAACCTTCTTACTATACTCCATTTTCTTACAGTAAATGCGTGGTTCGTCATCGAAAATTCCGCCTATTTGCCCGCTAGTCTCAACCACTCGTCAATCGAAAACAGCGCCAGCTTCGGCAGGCCCTCGTACCGCTTCCTATCATACGTCGCGTTGACCGCTGCCCTCAGCCTCTTTGCCCTCATTACGGTAATGGCCCGTGCGCCCAGAGCCCTCTCTCTCTGCATAAATGAACTGATCTCGCCGACCAGATCTTTGCGCTTCTTGCGCACCTCGGCGCTATCCTTTCTCTCCGCCTGGCACAGCGCACACGAGCAACTGAACTGCCATGTCTTCTGCAGCATGGTGTTGCGGTCGTCCACATCGACTCTCGCATCGTAGCAGTGCGTAATCTCCTCTCCTGCCTTAATCTTCCTGTTGGACCGCAGCACGAGGATATCCCCTATAAAGACTTTCGTCGCGTTGAAGACGCACGAGTGGTTCATGTAGGCTGCTCGAAGCCAGATTCCCGTGCTGGTGTTGCTGACGTCCTCGTCCTCTGACTGCGCGCCGGGTCCAAAGGCGTTTTGCTGGATAATGTCGTGAACCTGGAAAGCGTCCACCACGGGCTGCTCGTCGCTCCAATGCTGCTCCACGCCGAGGCCTTTGTATGTGCTCGCGAGTTCGAGAAGCCTCTGGATTTGTGAGGGGTTGTTACGCAGCTTGCGCACCACAGCGCGGTGCAGGCCTGTCGGGAACAACTTGATAGCAGCGTCGTTGCCCAGGTCGCAGGTAATGGCCGTCATGGCGTCGCGGTCCCAGCTCCAGATGACGCAGAAGGCCTTTTCGACCAGTATGATCTCGTTGGGCTGGATGTCACGCGTTGCGAATAGGCCGCGCCCGGCGCCGGGGCTCTCCTTGATTTGGGTGGGACCGTCGAAGCTGGCCAAGTCCAGTCGATGCTGCGTCTTGGACAAGCTGCTTATCGCCTTATTAAAGTCGAATACACCGGTTGTCTTTTCCTTGACGCGCAGGTCAATTTTGAGAAAGACCTTCGCTTTTTGGTTGTCGGGCTGCAGCTTGAGCTGTTCCTCGAAGAAGCTCTTAGCATCCTCAAACTGACCCAGCTTATAGGCCGCACCACCTGCCCGGAAGTACGCCTTTGCATCCAGGTACTTGTCCTCCTGGACACTGCTACGTATCAAAGATGCATCCGCATCCCTCCTCGCCTCATCGTAGCGCAGCAGCGCCAGGTTGACGTGCGAGCGGTTGCAGTGCAGATCGCGTCGGATGCCCTCGTTGGACCCAGCCTTGGCCAGTCCCTCGGAGTAGTAGGCGTACGCACGACAGTAGTCTTTTTTCTCCAGCGCGGCGTTGCCCTTTGTCTTGCACTCCTCGGCCGTCTCGACGACCTTAGCCGGGTTGACCTTTGCGCTGCGCCACACCTCCAGGTTATCCATATATATAGTGATGACCAGGTCCGAGGGGTGGTCTACGCGCAGGGTGCACTCGCCTAGGCTGTTGAGTGTATAATACGGATCTTTAACCACGTACTCGATGCCCGCCTCCAGGACGTCTTGGCCGTGATGCGACTTGTGGATGAAGATTTCCAAGCGCTCTACGTCTTCGGACCGCTGGTCTGTCTGCACGACAGTCCAGGACGACAGTTGAAGTTCCACGACGGGCGACACTCGGCGCAGAATAAGTTTCTTGCCGCGGTGATGCGTATCCATGCGCAGCTCGGAGAGCTCCATGGGCTCGAGCTGCGACACGTCCTTCAAGCAAGGTGGGTACTGTTCACCGGTGGTATAGGCGACCATGCTGTTGTTGGACCTGCCGCCTCCAAAGGACAAGCTGAGGTCCTGAAATAGCGACATTGACACGGCTTGCTGGATCTCACCCTTGCGGTTCCGGGCCTCCCGGGGCTCACCGCGCTGCTTTCGACATTTCTTGGATAAATCCCTAAGCGTGTCCTGTACGCGCGACGCTTCATCAGGGGTCAGGTAGAGCACGTTTGCGGTATCCATGGGGGGCGGCTCTCACGTCCATGGGATATAGTTGGATAAGACAAATGGTTAAATAAGCCATCTTAAACACACGATCACACTTCATTTCTCCTCATCCCTTTGTATCAACCATGACTCATAGAATACGAGGGAGAGCCACGTCAAATGGAGTAAATATTGGCTCAACAGCCTTAATTTAGATTGGCTCGAATCTTGTCGGCGTCCCAATTGGGGCTTGGGGCGACCTCGTAAGATGACATCAGCCTCTACTCGATAGACCTTCCAATTTCCGCTTTCCTGTTTCACTTGTTTCTAAAATCACACATTGATTTTTAGAACTTAAGATGACCGACATCGAGACCGCTTTTCAATCTGCAATTGGCGTTGGCAAGATCAATGGTGCTGTGATCTGTGCCAGTGACGCCGAGGAGGGCATTGTCTACAATGCAGCCTTCAGCGAACGGACCCTGCTGTTTGACACTAGCATGGTTCATTGACCGCAAGAACGGGCTGTGTGGTGTCGGAGCCGTTCAAGCTGCATTGCCAGTCGATGGGGAGGTCGTGGTTGCACTGAAGCAGACTTTCTGTCGTGAAGTCTACCACAAGCATGTTGCGTGGTGATTACAGCAGCAGGCATCAAGATCATTAGCACCGAGGAGTATAAGGAAGCGTATCTGACGTTAACCTATTTTTTTGTATATGTTAATAAAGATAGAAAGATCTATTTTCAACGCCTTGCGTACTATAATTTAACTCTCCTAGTTACCTCTGTGAGATGCCGACACCGTAAGGATGGTCTGGCAATGTCCAGTTAACACGTGAGTTGACTTTCCTCATTTTCCCTCTTTATCTCATGGCAGATGCGCGCGTTTTCTAGTACGAAACAACTCACGATATGACCAAGCTTTTTGAACGCCCAGTTGTGCCGCTTACCTTGAAATGTGTCGTACACCCATGACAAAATCAAAGCGCTACTCGGAACGGACCGGGCCATCTAAACACCAGGATGAAATGATGTCTAACCGTAGCTTTGTTACCTGATTAGTAGAACCCTCCCGGGGATGAGGGGAAGTGGAAGAGTAAGAAATGAATCACAAAAATATAAAAGTAAGAACCCAAAGACACTTAGGGCGAGGATTTCATACGCATAGTCTGTATATGGTGTATAAAGTCTATATGATATGTACGCCCGAGTGTGTATATTTCGCGTTTCTTTTCAAATCAAACCAGCCCAGCGAAGGACGAATCGGCAACCTGCGACTCCTTCCAGCCAACGCACTTCCAGCAACTCAACAAACCTTTGGGATCATATTTCTTCTTAATGCTCACCAATCTCTCATAGTTATCACCCCACCACGCCTCGACCCAATTAGTCGTGAACGGGTTGGCTTCGTTGCTGTACGCGCCACTACCAGGGGTAATGCCCTCAATAATGGCTGTCATGTTTTGAATGGACTTGATCTTCTGTTTCCGGGTGGGAAGGGTAGCGTTCCACTCCCAGGAGGCACCAGATCCCAACTCCCAGATAGCCTCACGCCAGGCGGGAGAAGCACTGGTCGATCCTTCGGTGTAGTTGTACAATACCGGTCCGACAACGGGAATGTAAGGCGTCTGGCCGAGTGATTGGATGGTTGCGAAGTAATCCATGAGGTTCGTACGACCCTCAGCGGTCTTGAAGATAGAGCGGGGGATCAGTCGGCTTCCGGGAAAGCGAGTGACGCCGACAGCGACGGAGGTGGTCTTGACGTATTTCTCGTAAAATGGGTACCAAGAAGTAAACTCTTCGATGGTGGCGGAGCCGCCGTTTGCTTTAGCGTAGGCGATTACGCTTGCCAGAGAGGCCTTGGCTTGCTTGATGGAGAGGAAAGGAGAAACGTTGACGAGCGTGTTACCGGTGATGTGGCCGCCCCATCCTTCCTGTCCCCATTTGAGGGTGTTGTTGACGACGATCTCCATGAATGGAAGCATATTGGTGGAGTTGCTGGGGAACTTGATGTTGACAGCGACAAAGCGGATCGCAGGCTCAACATGGTGAGTGCTTTCGAGTACTACGCCAAAGGTTCCACCGCCGCCACCGCGGAGGGCCCAGAAGAGGTCGGGATTCTGGAATTCGTTGGCAGTGTGGTATACACCACCTGGGGTAACGACCTTGAACTCGAGGACACGGTCAACACCGAGACCGTACACGGGGCTCAAGATGGAATGGCCACCATTTTGCACCCAGCCGCCTGAGACACCGACGGTGGGCGAGTAGCCGCCGAGTATGGTTACGTTATTTTTCTGTGCAAATTCGTACGCCTCGTCGAAGTTGACTCCAGCGCCGACGGTGATAGCTTTATATCTGCGAGCGGTATTTTTGGAGCCGCGGGGAGCAAAGCTCGCACTGTAGTACATAGATCGCAGGTTTCGCGTCCAAAGGGATAGTGTGTCACGACCACTGCTGCGGGTGAGGTAATCATGGCCAGTATTTTTGATAACAAGCTGCTTGCCGGAGCAGTTTGAGAACTTAAAGGCTTCAATCACATCCCTTGCGCTCTGCACTTCAAGATAGTGGGAGGGTAGATTGCCCTGACGGCAGGTGGTATTCACGAACGCCAGGGGATCTATGGGATTGCCGCTATCGAGAAGGCACTGATCACTAGGATCGGATGCCCACATCTCATCCTGGTTGTTCATGTATCCATTAGGAGAATTTGTTCGCAGCCATGGATCCGCGTAGTTTGCCTGGATAGCAGCGCAGGCCGCATTGTTGCGGGCGACCGGTTTCCCATTATAACTGGAGAAACAGGGTAAGGAGAAAGGAGTGAGTTGCTTGGTGCGTCCTCCAACTGTGACATTGAAGTCATTCAAAGTGCATGCCGAAGTAGAGTTTAGTAAGGCCAATAGGACCAGCCCGGATAACTTGGCCAACATTCTTGGCGATTGCAGAAAAAAAGGTTGAAAATCAGGCAAAAAGTAATACAAAGGTAGAAATGTAAGCTGAACCAGGATCAAGACACACTAAAATGAACTAATATACACTAAGATACACTAGAAAAGGTACGATCGGTGATTGTCTTAGACATTGCACTTTGATTAAACCAGTTCAGGCAAATGATCACCAATGATATTTAGATAGTTTAAGAACTTTTATTGCGAACCTATAAATTCAATCATGGAAAAAGAAAATGATTCCACATAAATTCACTTGATCCAATGAGTTCGAAGTAGGAAGAGTGATGACCTCAACCCGAAGGTTAATAATATCTTCCCAACGTTTCTGCTTCAAAAGACATATACACGGAAATTTTTCCTATTACACGAGGAAAAATGTCGATCCTCCTATTCTTCTAACATTTACACGATCTTGAATCTCAAAATGTTTCTATCTATCGCAAGATGGAACACAAGACCAATACATATTGGAAAAATGTCCTCACTATCGTGACGATTGTAGGGGCTGGTGTGGCGACTATCATCTACCTATTACGACTCTACTGCAGGCGAATGAAAGCTGTGGGGCTTCAACTAGAAGATTATCTAATGGGTGTTGGTTTGATCATCTCCTACTGTGTTACAGCTTTTTCAGTAGATAGTGAGTATTTCTCACACATTCCCCGATACTATACTAACTATAAAAGCTGCCTTCAATGGCGTCGGTCTGCCGCTTGCCTCGCTCCCCAAATATGAACGGGAGCGTATTCAATTCGTATGTTATCTACTTTATATCGTGGGAACATCTAACACTTCGCAGGGATCATGGATGATACAGAAGTTCTGGGCCCCATCAATGGCCTTCGTTAAGATCTCGATTGTCGTCTTCATCAAACGACTCTTCGGCTCCATCCATGCATACGTCGTTATTTCCAACTGTCTGGTCGGATTTATCGCCACATGGGCTCTCGCAGCCCTGTTGGTTAATATCTTCCAATGCACACCGGTGCAATACTACTACAACAAAGACTTGGAAGGACACTGCATGGCGGGACAGGTTCAATTCTTCCAGACTATGGGCTCGATCGCATTGATTGAAGATGTTATCATTCTCTGCCTGCCAATTCCTGTATTTTGGAGGCTACAAATCAACAATCGGCAAAAAATAGCATTAACGCTGGTGTTTTCTCTGGGTGGACTGTACGTATCCCACAACATGATATATCGATTCGTTCTAATGACAAATTGCAGTGTCTGTATCTTCAGTCTGATGCGCCTGGTTGAGTTTCGCAAATTCCAGCTCACCGACCTTGCGGGTTCGTTTCTACCCTAGCAGCCAGCTCATACAATGCCTCGAACTAACATCATCCAGCCTCAAGCGCGAAAGAGTCGATCTGGACTTGCCTCGAAATCAACGTCGCCATCATTTGCGGCTGCCTCCCATTTCTTAACCCACTCGTGCAAGGCCTCCGCAGCAAAGTCAGAAGTGACGCCTCAAAATATCATTCCCAACCTTCGACCGGATCCAACCTCCATTTACACACGCGGGGAAATCAAGGCGATTTTCGAGAGCTTGGGAGTGATTGTGGAGGGTCAGCGAACTCAAATACCCGCAATGCTATGGCTACAGCAAGTCGACAGAGTTCAGATATGGAGAATCATAGGCCGAATGTGGATGGGCGGTCCGACACATGGGTATATAGTGAGGATCCTGTGAATCGTGTGGGAAGGGAATGAACACCTTCCGAGTCGAATCGAACTGGAGACTGGCTTCTTTGGGATACTATTGCGAGTATTTCCGTAGCATAATTGACAGTAGAGGTGGATAGTAGTCTGTCACTTAAGCCACTTTTGAGTACTGATATCGCCAGGATAGGTGGGAGTCATTGTGGTAGGATGATAGAAGGCCGAAGGGTCTTTTTATATACGATTGGTCAGTGGTGCAAGCACATAACTAAATACTCTGGAGCTGATATAATGAGGAGTCAACTTCACCATCTGATTTTAGTATTTTTTAGATATCTCTTACTTTAGAGATCTCTCACTTCAGATAATTCTCAATTTAATATCTAGTTGTAGTGTCTTATTCTTCATAACACATTCTTAAGCCCACATAGCCTTGAACTTGGTATCAAACTCAGTGTGCAGTTCTTTGAAGGCCTTGGCAACCAAGAACATAGATCTGTGAGACTTGTCCACTGGCTTGTCTTGCGTAGCCTTGAGCCCGTTGGTGGTATCTTTGGGAGCATCGGCGGCATCATCCCAGCTTTCCTCCAGCTCGTCGTCCTCCATCTCATCCTCCCAGCTATCCATCACAACCTTCTTCGCTCGCGGGCGAGCGGCGGGGACGGGGGCAGCCACCGCCTGAGTGTTGTCTGGTTTCACAGGCAACTTGCCGGCATTTTCAGCCTCGATCTGATCAACTGCCTTGTCATCCACGAGATTCTCGTAATCATCACCGCCGCCAGCAACATCGAGCATGTCTGCACCGATGTTACCGCCAGGCTTGAGGAATCCTTCGATGCTGGCCTTGATGGTTGCCAGAGTCAACGAGAAGTCGTTCAGCACAAACCAGATGTCGCCGCGGCGGATGCGGTTTGCAGTCTCCAACTGAGAAACACTTCCGTGCTTGAAGAAGTCATACAGGTATGCATTGAGAGGGGCCGCGTTCTCGTTGGTGTCAACAGGCACATATG